TTTTCTTTGACGTAAACGATCATTTGATTATTTCAATTAAAATATTGTGACTTTAAGTCTACATATTATAATTAAAGGTAATGTTTCCAGCTAGAGCAAGTGGCTCTGCGGGAGTTTTCAGGAAGATGTGATTTTTCATATCATCGCCCCAGCCATTACGGTCGTTCTGTTTAGTTACCCTGCTGCTAGGCTAGCTTTTCATGTGAGCAGTTTTGCATCGCAAGAATACTAACCAATCGCAAGCCGTTATTTTAATGAGTGGCTTGACAACAGTCCTTTTATATGGACACATCACCTTTAAAGTTTAACGGGAGGCCTGAAAAAATATTTATGCTAATGGTCCACCCTGCTTAAAGGTCATATGAACCGAAAAACGATTTTCACATATTTGGTAGAGCTTTTTTCGCTTGTTAAGACGCCGTTTCCCGTTTTTTTCTACGACTTGAACTTTTCTAGATATGGCGCTTGAAAGCCCGAAAAAGTGACCTTCAAAAGCGATGCCACTCGAACGCGGTCAGATCGACGCTGTGACGTAATAGGTTTGACACGTCCCTTTGATAGCCATTGGAACCTTTGTCAGTGATGTTGATAAAAAAATCTTGCAAAACAAGATAAAAGCACGAAACTTTGTCAGAATACAGAGTTTGACACGCTGAAAAAGATAGGATGTATATCTTATCTGGCCAATGCCCCCTTGTGCTATTTTTAGACTGGGGTACTCGATTCCAGGCCTTTGAAGGGGTTTTTCCATAAATCAGTTGAAGATTGCGATAAAAGCAAGAAACTTTGTGAAAATACATAGTTTGATACGCTGAAAAAGATAGGATGCGGAACCCAGTTGGCAAATTACCCCTTGTGCTATTTATAGACTGGGGTACTCGATTCCAGGCCTTTGAAGGGGCTTTTCCATAAATCAGTTGAAGATCGCGATAAAAGCATGAAACCTTGTGAAAATACATAGTTTGATAGGCTAAAATGATAGGATGCGGAACCCAGTTGGCAAATTACCCCTTGTGCTATTTATAGACTGGGGTACTCGATTCCAGGCCTTTGAAGGGGCTTTTCCATAAATCAGTTGAAGATCGCGATAAAAGCATGAAACCTTGTGAAAATACATAGTTTGATAGGCTAAAATGATAGGATGCGGAACCCAGTTGGCAAATTACCCCTTGTGCTATTTATAGACTGGGGTACTCGATTCCAGGCCTTTGAAGGGGCTTTTCCATAAATCAGTTGAAGATCGCGATAAAAGCATGAAACCTTGTGAAAATACATAGTTTGATAGGCTAAAATGATAGGATGCGGAACCCAGTTGGCAAATTACCCCTTGTGCTATTTATAGACTGGGGTACTCGATTCCAGGCCTTTGAAGGGGCTTTTCCATAAATCAGTTGAAGATCGCGATAAAAGCATGAAACCTTGTGAAAATACATAGTTTGATAGGCTAAAATGATAGGATGCGGAACCCAGTTGGCAAATTACCCCTTGTGCTATTTTTAGACTGGAGTACTCGATTCCAGGCCTTTGAAGGGGTTTTTCCATAAATCAGTTGAAGATCGCGATAAAAGCATGAAACTTTGTGAAAATAAATAGTTTGATACGCTGAAATGATAGGATGCGGAACCCAGTTGGCAAATTACCCCTTGTGCTATTTTTAGACTGGGGTACTCGATTCCAGGCTTTTGAGGATTTTTTCCCAAAAATCAGTTTCAAAACACAATTAAAGCAAGAATCGTGCTGCAAGTACATTACTTGATCGCTGAAGATGGGATACTGCCCCCAACTGTCCCCCTCAAGTACCCCTTGAGCTATTTTTAGACGAGGGTACTTGTTCCCAGGGCTTTGAGGATTTTTTTTCAAAAATCAGTTACAAAACACAAGAAAGTCCAAGGAATTTGAAGTGTTTTTCCATTAAACAGTCATGGAACTTTGCAAAAGTACGTAGAACAAGATTGTTCTAGAAAACTATATGCTCATTGTGCAGCAAAAATATTTTGTAAGGATAATCAAATTGTAGTTATGACATGGTAATTTGCATTGAGAAAATTTAAAAAAGGCTTTAGGAATATCAATCTCAAGTATATAAAAAAATTTTATGCATTTCAAGTTCATATCAAATACATTTTAGGTAGGATTCCAAGCATTGAGATGGGCCCGGCCTTGCTTTCGGCGGTCCTGGGGAAATGCTCGATGTTCGTTCAGTTCCTTGTGACAACACTTCCTGATTCAACAGGAAGTGTTGATTTTATTCCACAAGTGAGAGCAGTTCGTACTTCGTACTGCCTTTGAGTCTTGTCCTTGAAATATGAGCCGGCAAGGAGGATAACTTCTTTGTGAACAAGATCCTTGAAGGGGTTTTATTCTGTTACACCGTTATTCATGCCTGTTTGTTAAACCATCAGATGTGAGTGTGTCCTACGTCTCGTTTATTTCTCGGCTGCAGCAGTACTTCCTTGTCTGGTAAGCGATTATGTTGAGCGCTTTGTACACGAGCACCTGTGATAGAAAAATATGATCACGATTCAGTCTTTCCCTTTTCCCACCAATTTAATGAAATAGAGTTCGCCAATCTAGTGAAAGCTTACACACAGTAAGGTCTGTTTATCAGGCTAGTCTCCCGTTTGCTTTAGGCCAGTAGGCCAGGCTCGTGTCTGTGAAAGTTTCTGCCTTGAAATACTATAAATTGTAAAGATAATGGAAAAATAAAGAATTTAGTTTACCTTTGATTCAAGGCAATATGTCTCTCAAACCAAACTCCAAGCTGTGTTGATCAAATGCAATCTTCATTCCCAGGACACAGAAGAGAAAAAGTATTCTGTGCCCAGGATGGTCCTAGTCCTCTCCCTCACATCGTTCGACGAGGATTTATGATTCTTCTTCGGAGGATACCGGTGTTCTGTGTTAGTAAAGCTAGAAAGACCACCAAATTCAGCCAATGCTCCCTCACTCATTTAATTCATTCGAAGACTGATCCAAATCAATATTACCATACGTCTCCTCTGCAGTTGTTAATGTTTACTACGGCTTCAAGGCCAAGAACATGTCCAACCTATTCCGTCACTTCTTGTCTTCTCGTCCCAGACCCCGGTATCACTTTTGGTCTCCTAAATTGGGTTTTAAAGTTGAAATTTTGGTGTCTTACAGGTATCTTTCGAAAATTTAACCAAGATTTTCGCAATCAGCGCCATCAAATTGCGTAAAATGGCCAATAAAAAAATTTCGCTTCATATGACCTTTAAAGATTGGAAATAAAACCAAAGTTGAACATTCATCAAGGAGGAAATGTCATATTAATCATCTGATTCTCAAGGCTGTGCAAGGCCGCTATTAAATAATCCATATTGACGTTACTTTTGTTGGAAGTCTCGTGATGTGCCTTTGTATATTAAGTAAAATTGCGGCCATTGGAATTTAGATCTACATGCAAACATTCTGGTACACCTCTACGATTTTTTAACAAAAGGTGACTAACAAAATGCTACATTGACAGGAAGTCACGCCCAACCCCTCGACCCCTCCCCCACTGGCCAGTCCGCCCTAAAGTGTGGTCAGTAGTCTCTAAGGTTAATCATGAGGCTAAAGGCATTTTGACCACCCATCGCGCCTGCGTGTGATAAGTATTGTAAAGTGACTGACCACCCTGTTTTTAGTGATCATCTGCCTTTCTGTGCAAGTGGCCATTTGCCAGGTTTTTAATGGAAAAATTTCGTCACCAAAAATACCAGAGAGGATAAACAGACATTCAACGGCGAAACATAATTACAAAAGGAAAAGAAAATCGAGAAAGATCTGCAGATGACAATAGTCGAAGAAAACCTGGTAAGATGCAGTGGCAGATCCAGGATTTTTCTGAGGGGTGCAAAAATGATAACGCTCTAGCCACTTCTTTAGTTTGTCGCGCCCTTGATACAGCTACGTATTGATCACACTCTTATAACTGATTGCAAAATAGCACAATGTAATTGGGACTGATAAGGCAAAGGTGAAATATATACACATAAACGTTCAATAGTAACTGTATACCATTTTATTGCAAAAAGTTGAATCATAACTTTTCAATTGCAAATACTCAGTTAATTCTGCATATTGGGTAACCAGTTAATCATTATGTGTCTAAAATATAAATATTGTTAGTTTAAGAAGTGTAATAATATGAAGGTACATTATGACTTTGGGCCTAACGCAATCTCCAATTTCGTGGAAATTCTTGGTTTTGTGCTATCGAGAGTCAAAGCTTGAAAATTTATGAAGATTATTCAATTGCTGTTAGGCCATTTGTTTCATCGATAACAGGAAAATTTTTTCATTGCAAATGCCAAATACCAGCAACTATAGCAACGTATACAATGGCTGTCAGGTACTGGCCGATCAACTTCTGTAGAGTCATAGCTTCCGTCTTCAACTCTTCATTTTTCACTTTCGCCATATGCTTTGATTTCAAAAGCGACATGCAGTTTGTCCAGCCAATGCTTCGCTTATGTCATTTTTAAAAATGCTCAGTAGCTTTGTCGGTACCATAGAGATGATCGGTAGGCAACTTAACAAAATTTAAATCTCTACAAATCCCTCCGAAGATATCGAGCATTGCGTTTGCACCGGTCAAGCAACATTGTTATTGGTCAATCGCCAACGTACGGGTGCAAATTATCACTTGGGGGTGCAAAATTTGCAACAATTTAAAGTTTACACTAACGGATCCCAAGTAGTAGCAGTTCTTCTTGACTGTGGACCCTTATTGTTCATTTCCTATGGTACTTTATCTTGTTCAATGAGTTGATGCATTTTCTAACTCGGTTAGCTTGGTGTTTTATTATCCTCAAGCTAATTTATCTTATTTTGCAGTTATCGATATTTTCTTTGAGTCATACTGTTTATAAAAATCAGTGGAAATAAGCAAGTATTTTCTAAATGGGGCGTTTTCCTTCGTTTTTAGAGGGCATGGTGTTAACAATTTTATCGGTCGCGCCCTTTTTAGCCCCCCCCCCCTCCCACACTTTTAGACTCTTGCGCGGTGGCTGACCTGGCCACTAGTAATTTGTCCAAATGATTCTCCTGTAGTCATATGTCCGATATTAGCATAACTTCTCCCCTGAGCTTCCTTAGCAACACGACTTGTGATCCCCTGATTCCAACTGATCCCTCCATTCTCGACAAACCCTGATAAAAAATGTCATGAAACACCTCGAAAGATTCTTAGAGTGTCTTCAAAATCTTTGCCAACAACGAACAAATCGTCAACATATACAAGAATAAGTTACAATAATAATGGTAATAATAATACGAATATTTCAACAGAATTAAAGCCTCAACACAAGTATTGCTGTTTTCAATGCTGGTCCTGCTTAAAAGAAAAGAAGAGAAATGTTAAAAGCCTAATTTACAATTTCATAACTATGAATAAATAACGTATTAAAAGTCCATGATGATAACTTTTAAAAGCCTAATTTATCAAAACTACTTCATTTCAATAGATCCAGTCTTTCCTTAAAAACCTCTTTGTTTCGATTGATAAATTGTTCTTATATCTATAGATAAAATGCTGTATAACTTTGCCCCCATGTAATAAAATCCCTCTCGCCCATATTCAGTATTGATCCGTGGCAAAGTGGCTATGCATTTGTTGTTTCTTGTGGTTTTGATGTGTGCATTTGTTGTGATGTGATTTTGCAAGGCATCACATATATCATTATTCAAGATGTTATGCTCGTTTTATCTTCAGTTTTTCAGGTGACAGAACACTGCATTCCTTTGAGCCCCTGCCAATTATTATCATGGCACGCTCATGAACAGCATCTAACTCTCTCGACTGACCAGTTGTTGGTTTCAGATTTAAGTCCCATAATATATAACAATAGGTACAATCATAGAGCGATTATGTTCACAAGCCGTTGTCCTGTCCAAGAAACATCTTAGTTTCGATAGTAGACTCAATCTGCCAGAAGCTCGTTTGTAACGTAGTTTAAAGTTGGTGCTTCGGATTAAAGTTGAATCAAATTCCACTCCCAAATATCCATACGAAGTAGTAGTATTGATTTTCGTCCCTTTGTATCGAACACATACTTCTTCACTCTGTCGCTTCAGACGCTAGGCAGTCCCAAAAGCCAACACCTCTGTTTTCCATTTTTCACATATAGAAGAGTTCATCCTCATTCGTCCATTTTCAAGGTTTGCCATTTCATTGATTTTGCTCAGATTTGTAACATCCTTATCCGCCCAATAAATATCCGAATCATCGGCGTATATGACAATGTTTGTCTCAATTACATCGGTTGTGTCGTTGAAGAGTAAAACAACGAGTCGAGGTCCAAGGATTGGGCCCTGTGGAACACCAGATTTCAAATGCTGAGCTTCTGTGTGGTCAAACCTACGCATGCGAACATTGGGAATGATGACGGTCACTGCGATCAGTTTCATGTTCGCTCGCACGCGTTTGAGAGTAGGTCCCGCTCCTACTCACAAGCGCTCACGCAAGAGCTCAGCCGATGAATCTAGTAATTGAGCGCTTCGAGCGCGCGCTCAAAAATGTCTCTGACAAGATTATGCTTAAAGAAGAACTTTCTTTGTTATCATGATGACCTATTCGTTGGATTTTGAATTGACATATTTTCTCTCGTGTTATCAAAAGAAAGGAAATATTATCAGCTAATGGACAGTGCTACTAGTACGCTAGAAATGCCATGCAAAACTTTTTTTTCAAGTGGAAAGTTTTTAATAGCTTTCAAATATAGAAAGAGAAACATCAAATTTGAAATAATTACAACATTAAAAAAGCCCGGGACTCAAATTATCCAAAAAATAAGAACATCGAGCGGTGGCAAAAATTGTATTGTTCTAATAAAAAAAAATTGCAGGCCTAGTTCATCAAAAGTAGTCAAAAGTAGACAGAGTCAAAAAATAGCAGCCGGTCGTTGAGTCAGGCAATAAATCCCACCAACTCAGTAAGAAATCATTCAAGAATTTTCTATCGATATATGTAAAACCCTGAGTACTTTTCATGCCTATAAAGCTTTTGCTTTGATGAAGCCCCGTATGCCGGGGCGATATATGCCTTCACTAATTTACGCGTATTTATTGTTGTCCATTCTCGTCGCATTGCGGTGTTTCGTATTTGCGACACTTTCATCAGTTTTTTCGCCGCAAGAACTCCTTGGAGTCCGTCGAGCAGACTGCTATCGTGACCTTTATTTTATTCACATATATAAAGCTTTCAATGCGTTTAAATCTATCAGTTGTTTCTATTTTCCATTCCCGTTTCCTTTGTTCTCAATGGCTCATCTGGGCATCCCGGCCTCAAGTACTGAATACAAAAATTACCCTTAACTACTACTTCCGCACAGCTTGGCTCAACTGTTAGGGCTGTCATCACAGCCCCAACAGCAATACTTTTGTTGAAGCTTTTATCCTGTTGAAATATTCGTATTATTATATTATTATTATTACACGAGCTCATTTTTTACAACACACTTTCGATATACACACTAGCATTTCACAAGATGAGGGTATCAAAGCTTCCCTCAATGCCATCAAAAATCACTTTGGGGAAACTATCCTGCTGCATAAAAAGTACAACAGGTGATTTTTATCCTCAAACGTAATTATATTGCCTTTACACTCTCTTTTTATAAGAACAATTTTACAAGAACACGAGCTTGAAAATTAGTCAAAGATGAGAACAAATTAAGAACAAGCTGAGGCTGAGCTAGCGTAAAATTTAACTTTGAACAATGTTTCATCTCAAAAACGAGGAATTTTTTGCCATCTTGGAGTGCTTTTTCGGTGAATATTCAAACATGGCGGCAAAAGAAGATTTTCTCACGCACTTTGTTGGCAAATGAGGCCTAGACACCTCCCTAGAGTGAAAAGCTAGCAATCGCACTGCTTATACCCTATAAATTTAAGAACAAATTAAGAACAATTCAGCCTCAGATTTTCGAAAAAATTTAGAACAACCAGCCTGAACTTCAATTTACTGTCTCTTGTAAAGAAGATGGTAAATTTTATTGACCTCCCTTAAGGCACCGCAATGGGAAAAACCTTTGCCCCAAATAATGCCAAAGCAAATTTAGTCCCAAATATGCAAAACTATTCCATCAAATTTTGACCCAAAAGGCCCTGTTTACAGTGTCTTGGTTTTATGGAAAGCAGTCGGTGCTTTCCTTTTTGTATGGCCTTTAAATAAGACACAAATATCAACCAAGGGTGCAACCATAGAAATTGATGTAACACTAGAGGTGAAAGGAAATCAGAATCAATTTAGAAATCTATTCCACCCAGCCCAAGATCACGCTGGAAATTTCTACTTTGTGTCACTGGTAGTCTGTATCATTTTACTTTGGGAGTAAACAAATGACAGGCATAACCTACTTTCTTGTTACAGTTACATAAGAAAAACAACGAAACAGATCCGTTGGTAGAAAACATTTGCCCTGCAAAAATCAGTTTTTCCCTGCGAAAAGGTCCTACTTTCATGGTTTGGGGGGGGGGGTGGACCATCCCCCATACCCCCCTCAAGTGACGCCTCTGGTGGCTACTCTGCTTGAACAGAAGAGTCGTACAGGTATACGGTTAAACTTTGGTGACCCACAAATATCCCCCGGTTTAGCAACATCGTGTTTCGATTTCGTCGTGGCATTCAGTCCATAAGTTCCTATAGAAAGGGAAATTTTGTGGGCAATCTAGCAGGTTAATCGGGATTTTTCCTTTTGATATTTGATCCTGGCGGGTCTTCGACTCAAAATCCGTCAGGGGCGGATGCCGGGCGAAATATCGGCTACTATTAATTGACGTGTGTTCTCTTTGGCCCTGCCTCAAATTTGTCGGGAAAAGTCAAAGTTGATACAATTAGGTAAACAAAATGTAATCAAACGAACCCCATAATGGCAGCCCCAACAGTTGAGCCAAGCTGTGCGGAAGTAGTGGCATCTCCCATAGTTAGGCTCTTTTCTGTAGATCCAGGGGTCCTAGGGCACCTAGGGTCCTAGGGTCTTAGCGTCTAGTTTTCCAAGGATGCCGCTGACCTGTGATCATAGATATACCTATGGTGGACCAACAGTTCTTCACCAGGGTTGTCAGGTGGTATGGGTACAGTTCTTCACAGCTTTCTTTGCGTTACATAATTCTTTGCTCTATCCCAGCCCAAATGATGAGGGGCTGAGCCCCCAACTTTTTTCGAAAGCTGCACCCCCTGAGCCCCTCCCACCCCTGGAGATGCTCCCACTCAGGGACGCCTGCCAAAGATTGGGGCAGGAGGGGCAGTGTTGGTGCTGAGGGCAAATCTACCCTGGGTACCAGACTCACCATATGTAAAATAGAATAGATAGTGAGCCTGGTACCCAGGGTAATGGCAAATCGTAACATTTTTCTACCAACATGATCGAGTATTCTGGGGGGGGGGGGGGGGGGGCAAGGGTGGAGTAGCATAATAAAATATTAACATGGATATCTGCCTGTCATCTGTACAGCTGGATTTTTTTAGCATCAAAGATTCTAAACATAAGAGAAAATGTTAACGAAATTATCTATACGTAAATAAAAAATGAGTACTTCTGAGGGAACAAGCCTTTTGTTTATCTACTAGTAGCTTTGCCGCTCTCCTTCTTTTGGCCCACCTTGTCACAGACAAACTTTTAAACCTTTGCGTTTTTGTGCTGGTGTTATCATCTTTCTAACATAGTGTTCAAAGTGGTCAAAGTAGACATCAATTATCGATAAGATTCTATAATATTTTCTAATATTTAAGGCCACTTCTTGCCCCCTCTGCCCCTCTTCCAAGAGGACAGGAGGGGCAGCTGCCCCTCCAGCCCCCGGTGTAGGCGCCCCTGCTCCCACTGCATCCCTGTACTTAAGATCCTTACAGTCTTATGGCCTTAGGGTCTCGGGGTCTGATTTTTACAGCGAGCAAAAAAGAACTGATCACAGAATAGGAATTTCTTATTCTGTGGCCTGATGTAACAGCTTACCATTGTTTTTCAACCGCGAACATAGAAGGCCTTTCCCTTGGTTTTGTCTTCCATAAAGACGGTCTCGTCTTAAAAGTAGCTGGAGAATCCGAAGATGGCTGGGCTAAATAACACAGAATCAACTGCACTCCTTGCTTCGCAAAAATCTGAGCATTTGTCAGGTTCTCGGGAGTCGATTAATGGCGTCCAACTGAATGTTAAAGAACTTGCAAGAAGTCTTGGCTTTTGGCATGCATTTGCCTACGTGGTAGGAATCTTGTTTGGCTCTGGTATGTACATCTCGCCAAGCCTTGTAGCAAGAGAAACTAACAATATGGCTATAGCGTTGGTAGTTTGGATAGTCTCTGGCATAATACCCATCTTGGGTGCAATGTGCTTTTGCGAACTGGCTTGTGCAATTGGCAAAGCAGGAGGTGAATACATTTTTAACAAAGAAGCCTTCGGAGATATTGCTGCATTTATGACTTTCTGGTCTGAGATTGTTGTTGGTTTTCCCGCTGCCATAGCTGTGTTGGGAATGGCGATCAGTGAGTACATTCTAAGCCCGTTTATTGACATAACTGCCTCCAATGGAGTTTGGATAGCAAAAGCTGTTGCTGTGCTTTTCATCTTGATGTCTGCCATCATAAATTCTTTGAGCGCCTCGTTTGTTGGCAAAACCCAAGTCTTTTTCACGGCCATTCAGTCACTATCAGTGCTATTTTTCGTTTCTCTGGGAATATGGAAAGCTTCTACAGGACACACTCAAAATTATGTTTCTATTTTTGACAATTCCAGCAAATTTGAACTCGGTAGCTTTGGTATAGCCTTTTACAATGGACTATGGGCATATGATGGATGGGGACTCATTCGCACAATAACAGAGGAATTGAAAAACCCAAAAAGGGACCTCCGACTAGCAATTCTTTTCGGAGTCGGATTTGTTATTCTATGTTATCTTTTGATTAACTTAGCGTTGTTGGCGGTTTTAACCCACGGGGAGATTGCAAGTTCATTATCAGTGCTTACGCTGTTTGTGACAAAGATTCTCGGCAAAAATGTCGCATTCTTTGTGCCCTTTGCTGCTGCTTTTTCCTGTTTCAGTGCACTGAATGGTTCAAATTTCATTTGCTCGCGACTTGTTCTCTCTGCCTCTCGCGAAGGACATTTGCCTGAACCATTGTCGTACATTCATGCGGACAGAAGAACGCCCATACCAGCTGTCTTATTTCTATCTTTAATGTCAATGATTTGGATTCTCGTTCTTGGAGCAGGAACACAAAATCTTCTTATTTACTTTTCATTTGCAATTTGGTTTACATACGGCTTAGCGATATTCGGTGTCATTGTTCTACGGGTGCGCCAACCAGATCTACCGAGACCCTTCAAGGTATGGATTATCAACCCGATATTCATGACATTAGTTTCTCTGTTACTTTTAGTTTTTCCATTTTTAAAACGACCGGTGGAAAGCAGTTTAAGCCTGGTTTTTGTTTTTGTAGCAGTTCCGATATACTTTCTAGTTGTGCAGGAACGAAACTGCACTCCAGCCTGGCTGCGCAGTTGGAAAGACAAACTATACTTATGTATCCTTTTGCGCTGTAACCTCGTGAAGTGTGTTTTTGTTGCACGCAAGACTGCCGTAGAGAATTGTCAAATAGATACTACAAGTGTTTAGTTGAATTAATCAGCATTGGTTATGGAGGAATTTTTGTACTGGTACGATGTTTTGACCGGTGAAAAGGAATAACGTGAGCATTACGATGAGCCTCGATTTTAATTTGATATTATGTACCGTAAATTCTCTTTTGAACCCCCCTCCTTATTAAGTCCCCCTTTTTATTTGCCGCCTCTTTTTAGAAGGAAAAGTTTAACAAGCTCCCCCCCTCCCCCACAAATGTGATTAAATGATACCAAAATAAGTAACTTTGACAAAGAACGTAGATTTTAGTTTTATTCATTGGGCGTTCATTACTTCTCAACAAATCAAAACAGGGCCTAAAATAAGTATGGATTTGACTCACTTTGTGGAGCTGTGAACAAATAAAGTGGATCTGTGATTGTGGAAAGTTTGGATTTGTTTTTAGGACGAGTTCATAAAAGATCGAATAATTTTTTCTCTTTTGACAATATCTTCGATTATACCTTCTGGTATTTTCAAATATGTCCAGCTGAAGCAAGCAACTCTGTCATCTTTTCATGTCATCGCCCCAGCCATTACGGTCGTTCTGTTTATCTACACTGCTGCGAGGTCAGCTTTTTATGTCAACAGTTTTGCATCGCAAGAATACGGACCAATCGCAAGCCGTCATTTTGATATTTCTTGACTAGTTGGGTATACGCAGTCCTTTTATATGGACACATTACCTTCAAGAACGTATTTGCATGGGATCTCTAAACTTTTACCCATCTTTTTGTTTCTGGATGTATAGGCCCATGGGCTTATAGACGCCACTTTCAAATTGTAAAACTTAAAATCTTAAACATTTCACATATTGGCCCATGGGCTTTGATGCCGGGTAATAAGATAGGAACGTAAGCTCTGACTTAGGCGAAAACGTAAGAGAGAGTTTTTTTAGGTGCACACGCACTAAAACAAGTTCTTTAGATTAAACTGTAAGAAAGTGCTTCAAAACAGGGCCTATTTGAAGCTTTAGAGTAGAATAGACACTTTTTCCGTGTTTCTCTGTTTGTGTGTGCTATGAATTGAAACCCTTGAAGAAAAAGCTAAACTCCAGCTTTAGAAGAAAATTCCCCGAACGAAGTAAGCAGAAAATCTGGCAAACACGTCCCTGTAGATTAAACAAACTACAGAATGATCTCCTGCGGTCATTTTCCTGCATTTGCCTAAAACACTTAACTGTTCTGTAAGGATACATGGGCCCTGTTAATGCCACAGCAAACCACAGGCGAGTTCCGCCATTGCACTAAGTCCTCGGTTTCAAAGATGTATGACGTCATGTACGTTAGCTGACTATGATCTGGTGCCGACCAATGAATCCCGTCTGAATCCTGGACTGTCAGGATACAGCTCTCTGCTGTGCTTTGCAGGACTCCTGGGCAGGATCATTGAATCTGTCGATGTGTAATACGAGATTTTAAGCCAGCTGTATCAACAGAGCCAAGCGATACAGTCAAGCAATTCAGCGAAGCTCTGATGACGGGAAAAGCATTGGTCAAGCACAACAGGGCGAAAGTTTTAAAAATGACCCTTTTTCATCAAGTGGAGGTGTACCATCCATGGAACAGAAAAAGAGTTTGAGAGATTGGATAGTTCAAGTTCCACCATTGCTGCTCACAGTTTATTTTCCGATGAAAGAAGTTCGTGTCAGCAAAAAACTAAAGGAGCTGTGTTTCAAAAACTTCCGTCAGTGAAAGGAGCAAATAGAAAGAAGGTGCGATGTAGCGTTTGCTTTCGAAACATTGACAAAGCTAAGATTTATGCATCAAAAGGAAAGGTGCCAAAAATATATCAAGAGCTAGGAGTTGTATCCCGTTCCAGAACTTTGGGTAATCATCTAACATTCAAAGTACATGTAGAGTGTTTGAGGGCCGACAAACTTCGCATGCTTTCGCCGGCAGAATTAGCAACCACAGCCCCTATGGATAGTGCACTGACAATTGCAAATAAAAATGAGTTGCTCACAGTGGGAAGGTTAATGCACTATATTTACAATGATGCAAAAAGGGGGTACGTTAAGTGCGTATTCCTGGCTTGTTCCTTGTTTATTGATAGAAGAAAACCCAGCTGCTTAAACTCTTGAGATTTGGTGACTCGAATAAAAGTGTTAAAACAAAGATTGAATAAGAGAGGGCCTTTACAGTCACCTTGGAGAACACCATGTTTACCAGTAATGAAAGAGGTTGCAAATTTTTTGCATATGATAGAAGTGTAGAAGTCGCTGTAGAGACTTTTGATCAAATTTGATTTCTTCAGGGATGTTTCGATACTCTATGACTTTTATAACCAAATTATGATCAACTTCACCAAAGACGCGTTTAAGATAGAGCAAAGAAATGACATGGACCTTTGTTTGACACGTAATCATTATAACAATAATAAGCAATTCATTTTAAAGTACTTCTAATTTAATCTCAGTTCACCAATTTAAATAATTCTAACCAAACCTTAGAGAACTTCAGAGCAGAGGTTTATCTTCTAACACCGTAAATTCTCTTTTAAGCCCCTCGGGGGCCTATTATTTTCCAGCACTTTAAAGGGGGCTTATAAGAAAGGTGTTTCATTTCATTTTCATCAATCTATTTTAGATAAAATTTAATACATATGACAATAAAAATAATAACAAATTTACTACATCAAACAAAAAAAATAAACATGGGACTGTATATAAAATAGACTGATTAAGGAGAAGCTCTCTAAATAGATAAACTAATCGAGAGAGAGCCCCCCCCCTCCCCCATAAAAGAAAACTTAAAAGAAAATTATTATTTAAAACAACAACAAATATTGATATATATAAATACAAATACAAAATATAATGAACCAGATAAGCCTCATCAAATTCACTAGTTGAGCATAGGAGTCAATAAAGTACGCTTTCAATTTAGATCGAAAAACAGAAATTGAAGCAGCAACTCGTATAAAAAGCGGAAGAGTATTCCATAATTAGGAGCCAAAATATTGTACTGTTTTGAGGCAATGAAGGGTTGTTCGTTTCAAGGAAACGAATAGATCACCTCTTGTGGCCTGACGAGTTTCAAACCTATGAACAGAAGAATCCGGCGTGAAATAGTTATGAAAATAAACTTGTGAGAGCTTATTTATAGCTTTATAAACAAATGTTAGAAAATTTAAATGTAATATATCTTGAAGTTTGATTATATTTAATGAATGAAATAAAGGTGCAGATGGGGCTGTAGGTATTTGAAAGTTTATACATCTAAAGATTTTCTTTTGCAGCAGAAAGAATGGAGTAAGGTAGTTGTCGAATGTAAGACCCCAAACAATAATTCCGTAATTAAGAAATGATGAAAACAGTGAATCATACAGACAGAGAAGAGTTGGCAAGGGAATCCAGTGTCTTAGAATGAAGAAAAGTCCAGTGGTTCTAGACAATTTTTTGCGACGTTCACAGGTATGGTATTTCCGGGAAAGGTGCTCGTCAACAAGGACTCCAAGGAACTTAACATACTTACTTCTTTTTATATTTTTTTGTCCAAAATTGAGAGGGATGACATCTGGTAGTTTCTTCTTGGGTGCGTGGAATAGTACAAAGTTAGTTTTGTCAATATTCAATGCAAGTTTGTTACAATCCATCCAGGTTTTTACCTTCTTAAGTTCTTTATTTACTTTTTTGGTCAGTCTAGTAAGATTATCTGTTTCAAAATAAGTATTGGTGTCATCGGCAAATAAGAAGAATGTTAAACGCTTAAATGAGTTTGGTAGGTCATTTACATAAATTAGAAACAGCAAGGGACCCAGCACTGATCCCTGAGGAACAGCGCATGTTATATCACAGAAAGAACATTAATGTCCATTTACGGAGAAAAATTGTTTGCGATCGTTTAAATATGATTCAAACCACTGTAGAGAATTTCCTCGGATTCCATAGTGTTCCAGCTTGCTTAGAAGAATATCATGGTTAACAGTATCAAACGCTTTTTAGAGATAAATAAATATTCCACACCCAAATCTGTTATTGTCTAGGGAAGACTTGATATTCCCAGTTAAACTCACTAGTGCATGGTCAGTAGAGTGACCACTACGAAATCCAAATTGCAAGTTAAACAACAATTCACATGCCTCAAGAAATCTATAGAGGCATTGATACATTAATTTTTCAAATATTTTGCTGAAAATTGACAGGAGGGAAATTGGTCTATAATTTGATTTTTTGGTAGTGAGACCTTTCTTAAATACTGGGATCGCCTTCGCTATTTTACGCTTATTAGGAAAAATACCAGTTTCAAAAGATTCATTGATCAAAATTGATAGGTCAATGGAAATGTGGGGATCTAGAATTTTCAGCAATTTAATTTGCGTGCTATTTGAACCACTAGATTTACCATTTTTTAGAGATTTAATGACTCTGATACTTCATCGGAGGTAGAAGGGAAAATGTAGAAGGAATCCTGATTGGGATTGGTTAGGTAAGACAATGAAGACCTTGGGTTTCTTAGGATCTTCTGTGTGATGTCATTAGCAACACTCGTAAAGTAATGATTAAATTGATTAGCTATTTTAACTTGATTCTTAATTTGGGAGCCGTTTTTATCTGTTAGGTATGAAATTGTGTCTAGATTTATACAAACAATCTTTTGGTGGTACAAAACTTGAAAAATGGCTTTGATAAAAGCAAAAATTTAGTAAACTAAAGCTTTTCGTCTGACACTCTTCAGAGTTTAGACATCAGAACATAGATCGAAAACTCTACGCTAGGAAATATATATACCCAGTTGTGGATCGAAATAGGCCCAAGTATTGTATATACTAAATGTATGCATTTTTCAAAGCCATTTGTGTCTAGATTGTTTGATTTTAAGCTGACAATATTCTTTATATCTTTCCAAAGCAATTTCATATTACTTTTGTTTTCATCAAAATAATGATAATAGTAGTTTTTCTTAGATTCCTTCAGCTCATTAACGACACGGTTTTGAAAAAGTTTAAATGTCCTTATTAGATCTGTTTCGGAGTTAGTAGACTAAAGCTGTTGAGATAACCTAGAACAAATTTGAGAGCGGCTATCCGAACAAAATTAGTTCACCTAAGAAAGTGGATTAGATTAGTTCGAATAGCTATGTGGTACAGTGTAAACGCTTTTATCCGGATAAATTTTATCCACATTGTATCTTGCTCGAAAGCGATTGGCTATTTCATCTAAATTAGTTTTCACTGTCTCCCCATCAAGACCTTTCGCCATCTTGGCTGCCTTGTTGTCGATAAATACTCGTGTTCAAAGTGCAGTATCTTGCCAGTCCACGTAAAATTGGCATCTTTGTCAGCTTTCCCTTCTTTCGTTGCTAGCTCAGTGTCATTTTGTTCCATGAACAAACTATTAAAACACACTAGGCCTAATTTGTATTGACAACATCTTTGGATTTGCTCTAAAAGAAAAGCAGATGATTCTGAAGAGAGAATGAAGTCCTTTTACGTTGGCGGGAATTTTGTTATTATTTGGTTGCCCAGAGACGATTTCATTTTGGGAGTTCTGTGCATGATTAAGGTCATGTGACTGAAGTTATCCGGCACAGTGTAACCGGGAGGGCAAAGTGGACAAAATTTTTGCGGCACAATGTAAACGCAATCAATCCGAACGCAATTTTATCCGGTACTGTGTAAACGGGGTCTGAGTGTAGAGGTAGTTTCTGGTATGCGGGTAGGATGAAGAACCGACGGCTGTAGGTGTTGTTAGAACATCGTGTTAATGAAATCGTTTCTTGGGGTATGATTTGCATGCTTTAACAGATTTATATTAAAATCTTCCATTATACAGATGAGCTTATTTTCATTTTCAATTTCAGATAACCTCTCCTGCAAATGATCACAAAATTATGCTGTATCAGTTCTTAGATGACGATATGCACAGCAAGATAAAATATTTTTAGCTTTAGGATTATCAATTTCAATCCAAATTGTCTTTGTTTGCTTTCATCATTTTTGGTTTTAGTATATCGATTTTTCTGTTTGCTACGATGCATTTTTGCCTTACGTAATTCCTTCGTTATAAATGACCCGTTCTTTGCACGAACATACTTTCTCTTAATGGGTGCATGTTTATTCAAAGCATTTGACTGAGATATCAACACTTCCGTAGTCTCTATAGTTTAGTATCCGATGATTCAAAATTTCAGATCTAAGGCTGGGTATATCGAATTTTTGGTAGTCTCTATATGTAAATATTTTGGGACCTCTCTTCATGAAATCACCTTCATAGACTGGTTCCATTTCTCTAAAATAGTTCTTAAAAAGAGATCAAGAGGCATTTTCGGGTAGAAGCTGGGATCCAGTTTATTTTGGGTATTTCGACCATGCTGATTACGAATTTGGCGGATCCCAAGCGAAATTCGCTATTTTAAAGGCTTAATTTGCATATTCAAAATGGCTGTCGGTCAAAAAACTTCAAGGTATAACCAAGGGACCCTCCGAACCGCATAAAGTTCTGGCAAGTGGTAGAATATAGCAAATAAAGAAAAAGTAAAGAAATTCAAGAATCTTTGTTGCATGCAGCCGATCTTGGTCAGCAACAAATTCTAAGCTTTGTCACGCACAGACTGACACTGTCTGACACAGCCCATGATATCCTTCAACGAACCATTAAAAAGATGCAGAGCGCTTACCTTTCAAAGCCTATATGAAGTTCCAATAAATTCAAACTACAAGGAGAAGCAGACGATTTTCAAGGCCGATCGAAATATCCTCATGCGGCTGATCACTGCTTATGAAGGCAGCCTTGAAGTTGATCTTAAGAGTGTGCTTTCTCATGAATTGATGCCAGTTCCTCATCTCTCACTGAAATGAACTGTTCTTTTCGGACTGGAAGCAAGTCTGTCCTTATTGACAAGCTAACGGATAGCATCAATTGTCCAGAGAGTATCGATCTTCATGGAATAACACCACAGGCTCTAGTGGTGTTATTAGGCAAACCAAATGGTTGCTCTTCGTTTTGTGATTTAGCAGACACCTTTGTTTCAAATGGGTAAACGCTACCAGAGATTTAGCAGTGCTTCAAATGGGTAAACGCTACCAGAGAGTCGACGTTGTTTTTGACCGCTATAGACAACTATCAATCAAAACTAGTACCAGACTAAGGCGGAAAAAAGCTAGCCGGCCTGTTCGCCGAGTTAAAGAGAGCGGTTTGGTACCTCTTCCAAAGTTCTGGTCAAACTTATTTGCATTGCCAGAAAACAAATCAGATCTTGCACGATTCCTGTCAGAAGAGTTGCTTCGCCAAGCAACTGAAGATAAAGAAATTGTTACAGCTGGTGGATTTATCAATGAATTGCTTGCCCAGTCATCGAATTACTACACTGATACCTTGTCTTTGATTGCAGACCATAAAGAAGCAGACACCAGACTTGCCCTTCATGCTATCAATGCCACCTGCAATACAGTAGTAATTGCTGCTAGAGATGCAGATGTGCTCATCATTCTGGTGTCCCACTGTGAACGAATGCGATGCAATGATCTTTGGATGATGTCTGGAACGTCAAAGAAGAGAAAATATATTCCAGTCAAAGAGATTCTTCACGCCTTGCATGAGGGATCTGTTCAAGCACTCATCCCCTTTCACACTCTTACTGGATGTGATACAACTTCGTACTTGTCTGGGAGTACAAATGGCATCTGCATGGAAAGTTTTTAAAGAGTCTCATGAACTCTTGCAAAACATGGGAGAAGGAGGTATTAGCAAACGGGGTATTATGCGGAAAGCAGAAAATTTTTTTGCCACGGTTTTGGTGCAGGCCACAAATGAAGCCCGATACGTTCTATTTTTCAAGAAAACAAAACCCGAGGCATTGCCTCAAACAAATGATGTGGCACATCTTCACATAAGAAGAGCACACTTCCAAGCAATGATATGGAAACAAGCTGGATCACCGCATCAAGACTTACCGTCACCTACAGATTTCGGATGGGAGCTTTCTGAAGATCGATTAAAGCCGATTCTAATGACAGCGAAGCCATCCCTACTGCTTCTCTGGAGATGATCTTTTGTGGATGTAACACACGATGCAGAACTCATATAGCTTAGTTTGCTTTAAGATTTAGATCAGACACTCGTTTAAATCTTAATGTAGGGTCAAGCTTCACACTGCAGGCCTTGCGCATACCAACATGAGAAGAATCCTCAAGAATTCTTGACACGTATGGAAGAATTTAAAAATTAGCAAAGAAGTTTTGAGTGAAACTACAACTGTTTTTTCTTAACAACTCTCAAGAATTATTAGTCAGAAGATAGTGTTAATTTGCGCAAGGCCTGTAATGTAGCAAGTTGGGTGGCAAATGCAGCAAAGCTGAAAACAACGAATGCAACTGACCTATAATCGATTAGATTCAAGCTTGGACCCATGCTAGAGACCTTCACAAAAATGCAGCATAGTAGAACTGTATATACAAAAGGAACGTGTTCAGCCACTTGAATATTCAATGTTGACATTTCACCCGATTACTACTTGGGGGAAAATTTCATTTGAGAAATGTCATACATAAACTTGTCGTTAGTTCGAAAAATGAAGAGCCGAAAGTTTGCCATTTCTCCTAAAATTAAATGGGCTCAATAAAACTGGAAGATTTTATTTTAAATGGTAGACACTAACCAGCTAGAAAACCAGATCAATGAGTTTAATTTTTGCCGGAGGATCAAAGATAATCAAGAATGCCACCATTCGACTGATTTCGAAGAGACCTTAGAAATGTTGCATGACCTTTTCAATTTTTGATGGCGTGAACAATTTTAAGTTAATGACGTCATCATATTTATGACGTCATGTAAATCATAGAAAATGTAATAGATCAACTTTACTAGCCCAAATTGGCTCTCTTTATCTTTAAAAGTAAATTCAAGACATTTTAGAGTATTTGCACCAGTAATAAGGGGTTTAAATGAAACAATGCCAAATTGGTGTAAATAAATCATGAATAAACGATATAGATAATAAACTTAGATGGAAATCATATCTCTGATTTTTACTTTTTGGTGCATTTTGATACATTCTAGAGACTATAAAAGGACTTAATAATTAAAGCTGAGATATTACCAATAATTGGCAAATTCTGCCATTTTCTTCAATTATGACATCATTATAACGTCATGGATGTAATGAAAAATTTAAAAAGTTCCCTGTTGTGTAGATTTTGTTGCTGTACACCATTTTACCAAGTTCTATCCTCATAACAGCAATATAAGTGAATATCCTATTCGAATGCAGTGTCATGGATTTTCTTGGCAGCATTTTGAAGATTTCGACTGGCAGCCATTTTGATATGCAAATTAAGCCCTTAAATGAGCTAATTTCGCTTGGGATCCTCGAAATTCGTAATCAGCATGGTCGAAATACCCAAAATCAACTGGATCCCAGCTTCTACTAAAAATGCCCCTTGTTTTATAATTTCTTGGAATTGGAACCAGTCTATCAGACAGTCCTGTTTCAACATTAGTTGTGTTTTGAAAGCGACTTTTACAGTTTGTCATTATTAAATCTATGCATCGTGGGTTATCTGGCTTGTGACAGGTTGGTTTCTTGATCAAGTTAACCAGAGTCCAGAAAAAGTAATAACCTTCCTCCGTCTGCAATTTTTATAATCCAAACCTTCCTCATTTAGCAGCTCAAAGTTGTCTGATTGACAGTTGTTGCTCAAAAATTATGTAAATATTATCTCTTAAAATGCAAAACCCTTTACAGTCGTTACACCCATTCACTACATTCGATCAAATTAAATGAGTTTTTTCAGGCACATTTATTCTGATACGTCAGACAGGTACTTTTAAAACCACGGTACTCTTAGTCTCTTTTGTTGGTTGCCACATGTTGTCGCGAAGGTGGAAGTTTGAAAAAAACTAGTTGTTTTGGGCCATCTACACGCTTTATTTTTGTTCTGGGTGGTTGGTCGTGATGCTTTGTATTTGGTTGTTATTTGAGGTTATCTTTTCTGCATTCTTCTCCACAATAAAAACAGATAACACGAAACTTGCTTCCATCCTTTCCTCATTTATTGTAGCCATATATAGAGCTTCCGTCGCAACACACCCAATGGCTAATTCAGTTTCGCACTTTCACTACGTTTCATTTCACAAGTTTTCCCGCCAAAATTCACCTTGTTTCCGTAATCGTAAATGAGGCTCCATGTAGCAAAGGTTGAGTAACAGCAAAATGGCGGTGACACTAACACAGTAAGACTATGGTAGGAGAAACATTCATTTCATGAGAAGAAATTATTAAAGTCTTTGTTCAGAAACAAAGATAGTTTTAAGGAAAATTAGAAGCTCTGATTGTGGAGCAGTGCGCTAGTTCTTCCTGTCGATATGACCAGCACAATACAACAACACGACTGTGATTAATGATTATTTTATGTTGTAAGAACATATACAAACTATGAGCTAGATAATAGAACGTAGATACAGCATACATTTTACCACTCCTTCTATTATGACCAATTTACTTTATTTTCCTCAGGCAGTCAGTTTATTATAAACTTTGTAAAATCCAGAGGCAAATTATGTAATTTCATGGGTACATTTGACTTTCATATGCAATAGAAACCCAATAATATCACATTTCTAGTTGGCTTACATTTGCCTTGCATCTGCAAATTAAGATTTATAGTTATACATCTGGCATCTGCCTTTCTTTCTAACTCATGTTATTTCCCAAAGCTAGTTCTAAATTTAAAAATGTTAGAGAGCAGTATGTATCATTCTATACATAGGTTAATTATTGTATTGTATTGTATAGATTAAAACACACTAATTAAGACTAACACAAATGAAGTAACCAAGATTTAATTTTAGAAAGATTCTAGAAAGGTATGTCCTGTTCTGATCACTGCAACAGATACACCAAATTTAATTTCTTGTCACAGAAAAGCACATGACAAAAAAGACATTTATTTTATGCATATTAATTCATACCTAACTTAATTTTAAGATGACTGATACCAAATGGAACACCTTCTTCCTATCTTTCTGCATTATATTCATGTTCAAATACAGATTGCTTAAGTAGTGGGATTCTCTGTCACTGATAAATCTCTCTGCATTATATTGATGTTCAAATACAGATTGCTTAAGTAGTGGGATTCTCTGTCACTGATAAATCTCTCTGCATTATATTGATGTTCAAATACAGATTGCTTAAGTAGTGGGATTCTCTGTCTATCACCATGTTCAGATCACTGATAAATCTCGGGTTGTTAGAAACTGTTTGCTTGAGAAACATTCATCTACATCTTTACATTTCCCTCAAAAACATTTTAATATCCCTTGCCATGCTGTAGATTTGTAAGTTTTCACAAACTTCCTGTGGTCTAAACACACAAGCCTTTGAAATTGGAAGATTGGGCTTTACGGAATTACTTATTAACCTTCCTCAAATACGACATTAACAGGCAAAACCTCCCTCTGGCTCCCAGCCGTGGAACAGTCAATTTTTCTGGACTCTAAAGTTAACTAATATGTTTACTGTGCTCCCGTCGATGCTACACTGCGCTGTTTTCGAAGTCATCTTACGGTACTTTATGCCCTCTCGTTGTGCGCAATACTCCGACCCACAAAACGTGTTCTTTTCTCACTAGGAACCTGGGGCGAGGTCGCTTACAATGTCAAAACTCTTTTCGTGAATAAATGTAGAATTTAATTAGCCACCGACTATATTTAACGAGCAAACATAAAAAAGAATGAACCAATATTTAATTCGAATGAACATTAAACGGAACGAATAAACTTTAAATAGAACGAATGAACATCAAATTGAACGAATAAACATTAAATTGAACAAATAAACATTGAATTGAACGAATAAACATTGAATTGAACAAATCGTTCAGTATTAAATTGAATGAAATTTGTGGTTCACCGGTTTTGAAAAGCCCGCACTAAACACTAACTGACCCATGATTTATCTAGAAGGAACGCAAAACCTTTTAATGCCACTCTTAGTTAGAATTAAATAGCTCAAAATCCGAATAAAAATGATGACAATTTTACCTTGTTTCCGACGACGATCACTGGTTATGTTGGCAGCAACAACGCGGAACAACGCGGACATCGTCACAAATTCCCAAATATGATTGGATTTTGGAACCATGACAATGACAGGAAAGCAACCAGCTTAAAGGCTCTTGGGAAACTGGCATGCCTAGCGGCATCTGTCTTGAGAAACTGGTTGAGTCGCAAAGCATGCCAGTTGCGCAAGGCACTATGTCCAATTAGTCAACCGTTTAGAGTTAACAGGCTTTGCAGCGCGTTTATATTCGATGAACATTGAGAATTAGCCTTTAGTTGCCGAATGGATACGTAACAATAGGTTATTGTGCAGCCCATCCAAAGGAAAATTTAAATTTTCATTTAAATTTCCATTCTAAATGAAAATTGAAAAACTATTCTAAAAAGACCAGTGCTGGAAATTTCTACTTCATGTCACTGGTAGTCTATATCATTTTACTTTTGGAGTAGACAAATGACAAGCATAACCTACTTTCTTGTTACAGTTACATAAGAAAACCAACAAAACAGATCCGTTGGTAGAAAACATTTGCCCTGCAAAAATTAGTTTTGCCCTGCGAAAAGGTCCTACTTTCATGGTTGGGGGAGGGTGGACCACTTTTTTCGAAAGCTGCGCCCCCCTGAGCCACTCCCACTCCTAGAGATGCTCCCACTGCATCCCTGTACTTCAGGGTCATACGGTCTTAGGTCTTAGGGTCTCAGGGTCTGATTTTTACAGCGACCAAAAATGGCTTGATGTTACAGCTTACTATTATTTTTAAACAGCGGACAAAAAGGCCTTTCCCTTGGTTTTGTCCTTCACAAAGACGGTCTCGTCTTAAAAGTAGCCGGAGAATCCGAGGATGGCTAGGCTCAATAACACAGAATCAACTGCACTCCTTGCTTCGCAAACATCTGAGCATTTGTCAGGTTCTCGGGAGTCGATTAATGGCGTCCAACTGAATGTTAAAGAACTTGCAAGAAGTCTTGGCTTTTGGCATGCATTTGCCTACGTGGTAGGAATCTTGTTTGGCTCTGGTATGTACATCTCGCCAAGCCTTGTAGCAAGAGAAACTAACAATATGGCTATAGCGTTGGTAGTTTGGATAGTCTCTGGAATAATACCCATCTTGGGTGCAATGTGCCTTTGCGAACTGGCTTGTGCAATTGGCAAAGCAGGAGGTGAATACATTTTTAACAAAGAAGCCTTCGGAGATATTGCTGCATTTGTGACTTTGTGGACGAAGGCTGTTATCTGTTTTCCCGCTACCATCGCTGTGTTGGGAATGGCGATCAGTGAGTACATTTTAAGCCCGTTTATTGACATAACTGCCTCCAATGGAGTTTGGATAGCAAAAGCTGTTGCTGTGCTTTTCATCGTGATGTCTGCCATCATAAATTCTTTGAGCCCCTCGTTTGTTGGCAAAACCCAAATCTTTTTCACGGCCATCCAGTCACTATCAGTGCTATTTTTCATCTCTCTGGGAATATGGAAAGCTTCTACAGGACACACTCAAAATTATGTTTCTATTTTTGACAATTCCAGCAAATTTGAACTCGGTAGTTTGGGTATAGCATTTTACAATGGACTTTGGGCATATGATGGATGGGGCTATATTTGCACAATCACAGAGGAATTGAAAAACCCAAAAAGGGACATCCGATTAGCAATTCTTTTTGGAGTCGGATTTGTTATTCTATGTTACCTTTTGATTAACTTAGCGTTGTTGACGGTTTTAACCCACGAAGAAATTGCAAGTTCATTGTCAGTGTTTACGCTGTTTGTGACAAAGATTCTCGGCAAAAATGTCGCATTCTTTGTGCCCTTTGCTGCTGCTTTTTCCTGTTTCAGTGCACTGAATGGAATAAATTTTATTTCCTCTCGAATTGTTCTCTCTGGCTCTCGCGAAGGACATTTGCCTGAACCATTGTCGTACATTCATATGGACAGAAGAACGCCCATACCAGCTGTCTTATTTCAATCTACATTGTCAACGATTTGGATCCTCGTTCTTGGAGGTGGCACGCAAAGTCTTGTTATTTACTATTCATTTGCAATTTGGTTTACATATGGCTTAGCGATATTCGGTGTCATTGTTTTACGGGTACGCCAACCAGATCTACCGAGACCCTTCAAGGTATGGATTATCAACCCGATATTCATGACATTAGTTTCTCTGTTACTTTTAGCTTTCCCATTTTTAAAACGACCAGTTGAGTGCAGTTTAAGCATGGTTTTTGTTTTAGTAGCAGTTCCGATATACTTTCTAGTTGTTCAGGAACGAAACTGCACTCCAGACTGGCTGCGCAGTTGGAAAGACAAACTATACTTATGTATCCTTTTGCGCTGTAACCTCGTGAAGTGTGTTTTTGTTGCCAGCAAGATTCAAGGAGCGGATTTCCAAAAAGATACTACAAGTATTGAGTTGAATTAATCAGCAACGTAAATTCTAGTTTAGATTCAAACTTTGATCCGTTCTAGTTCTATGTATTCTCTAATCACACTTATGTATTCTTCAAATCTGATTTCTAACGCATACTTCAACGTGTACATTAAGTGACTACAAGAATAACTATTGAGGAGTACCAAACACTTTCTTACAAGCCATGGCTTTGCAAAAATCATTTATTTGTCACGAGATCTTTTCCAGAAAGAGGTCGCCATAACGTTACAAGTTTTGTCAGCCTTCCCATTCACTCTAATTTACTTTGCAAAATAAATGATTCTGTTGCTCAAGCAGTGGATTGATACTAGGTATGTTAATCGCCAAAAATTGCAGACGGTAAAATTTTCACCGTCCGAATTTTTTACCACCCGAAAAGTTTTCTGCTAATAAACAATTTGGAACTTCTGAGAATCATTTTTCCTTAAGATTACGATATGATTTATTGACCAGGCAATGTTGATGATATAATAAAAGGATGCGAACATCCATGTAATTAAATATACGTAGAATCCGATTCACGTAGAAAGAAAATCCACTCACAAAATTCAAGTGAGTCGCACAAAAAGAAAAAAGACTCGCAGAAAAATGAAACTCGTCACACATTTTTAGCAGATTGAGTCGCACAATTAGAAAAGAGGTCGCACTTAAAGAAGAATGGGTCACACGTTGGAAAAGGGAAGGTTTTTTATTGAATTGAATGAATTTTTGTTCAGCGATGATGTTTTGCCCAAACTGCGGGAATTTCAGAGACAAAACCCACTTTCTCATCATTGGAATAAAATAATATGCGCGTATTTTTGGACTATTGGGACTATTGTTCAATTCGATCACAGAAACATGCAGACAGGCTAAAAGTTGTGTTAGAATTATCTACTTGAAAACAGCATTGACTTTTTATTCCATCCAAAACGTTACATAACAAGTTACTGTAATACCTTGACTACACGCTACTTTACTGTTGAACAAACACTTAGTTGGGATACCATCTTTAAAAAACCATCTTCCCTTGCCTCTGACGGAGAAAACAAAAATACTGGTGTAAAGAATGGTTTATGGACCAAGCTAGACAGTATGAGAAAAGTTAGTGGCAGTTAACTCCCACTTCTAAAATTGTGGTGTGCCTGTGGTAAGTCCAATCTTGCTTGGGTTTCAGTGATAAAGAATGTGGCAGAAGTTCAAAAGGCAATTAAAAAAGCTACTGCGGTGTGTACATTTTTTCACCAACATGGCACAAGATGGAGGGAACTAAGAAAGGTGGCAGAAAAAAATGAATTGCACCTAATGAGATTGCCATGCTATTTTGAAATGAGATGGGCTCAGTATGCAGCTCAGCTTTTTCAAAACATAATTTCAAGTTGGTGTGTATTAATGACGTACTTTAAGGAAAGCACTGAGCCTCAAGAACAAGGTTTTTTTGAAAAGCTACAAGATCATGATTTCCTGCTCTTGGTGTGCTTCGTTGCTGATGTGACATCTCTATTTAGACCATTCGAAATGAGGTTCTTATAAGTATCAAAACGTTTTTGAAGGAAAGATTCGACGATAAAGAGTTTGTTGAGCTAAATGCAATTAAGAATTTGCCATCAGCAAAAGAACAAGGCTTACGAAAGCTTCTTGCAGCTATCGTCTCGGACAAAAGTTTAGCAGATTTCGTCAAAGCATGCGTTGAAGTAGGACAAATGAAAGACTTGAATCACAGTGATCTGAGACTTGTACTCCAAAGAATTTTACCAGAAGAAACAATGGAGCCATTAAAAGTGGCCTTGGCTCGTATTACGCAGCACAACCGCAATCTGCTTATGTTGAAAGGTTGCTTTCTGCTTGCAACAAAATAAAAACAGATGGGCAAAGCAGTATTGCTCCAGAAACACTTCGCAAATGTATGCACATTGCAATAAATATGCCTGATCTTGCTTGTTTTGATTTCCGATCAGCTGCTCTCTTTCCGATCAGCTGATTCCCTTTCCGCGACGAGGTACTTACTATCCCAACAAGTTTACGTTCTCTCTTTCCGTTTTCCGTTGCTTATCCGATCTTCCAAATTTTTCCTTGTCCAATTTGAAATACAAATGATAAACGCATGTATCTGATTCCAAAGATATTAAAAAAGCTTAGCCCGTATCTCTTGAGATACTCGTGTCACGATACCCAATTTTTTCTTCATTCATTTAGATGTATTTTTTCTATTCTATCGTCATCAAATAGTTTGCTTCTTTTAGTTTAGCCAATTTTTTGCTAATCAGTTTAATGACTAACTTTGATTACATCGTTTCAGCTCTACCTACGTTTTACCCTCGTTTTCATTCCTTTTCGGTGTCTACTTTTAGTGCATGACTCGGTTGTTTTTCTTACATTGTATCGTCGCTAAAGCTAATATCATGTTAGTCACTTTTCCTGTTTTTCTAAAATATTATTGGTTAAGTTCTTCACGTGTTTCCGCGTAGCTTTTTATTTAAACAGTAGTTTGTAATTAGAATTTAACTTGTGTTCCATGTCTCACTGGAGTCATGTTTTTGTTGATTGAATAAAAATGTTAATGTGAAATTTGTACTTTTCTATACCGCTCGAGCCTGACTGCCCTTCACACTCGCTACCAGCTAAGTTTTTCAGATCATTTCTTTGTTCTACTATTCCTCTATAAAGACCACACAAAAAGAATATTAAAGATGATTCACATCACGTCCTGTCAATTTCAATGCATTGTTTAAATGAATAGACATAATCTTCACAGTAGACAAAATCTAAATAGACACAGTCTGATTGTCAGGAATAAAGTCCCTACAATTAGACTGAAACTGTGTCTCATTTTTCTTTTTATCAGTTAGTTTTTATTTTTAATCAAATTTTAGTGTTTAATTCTTCTCCTGTTGTAACCAGATGATCAAGCCTCCAAATGCTAACGCATCGAAGTAGTTGATAAGTTGAATGAATACAGTGAACAAGGACAACCTTTTGGTAACCTTAAATCTAACTTATGTGGCATATGTAGCAAACGAGTAAATTCAAACCAAAAGTTTTTGAACTGCAAGCAATGCAACCACCGTATCCATATTACTTGTAATGACACATCATCGAAAGAATATCCAACATTTTGTGTTGAGCCCTGGGTCAAAAACTGGATCTGCCTTTCCTGCACCTTTACTAAAACCGCAAGTATATTTCCGTTCTCTCTGGAGACTGGTGAGTCCCTGCTTGCCTTGAATAGCATCAATCTTCCCTCGCTTACTTACCTTATGCCATCTTATGAAATAACGTCCCAGCTTTTTACTTTACCCAATCAATCTGACTATGATATAGATAAATATCTGAATGGTAATATAATTTCACAATATTGTGTAATAGAATAGCTTGTTTTTTTTTGTATCACAAATAAAAACAACTCAAAATTAACTACATATAAATATTCTGTGTCTGCCGTAGCCGGAAAAGACATGATGTCATCGAGCTCCAACTACGACAGCACTTACATTGATAGTGACATTAATCTAAATGACAAAAAGATAAACAACAACTTAACCGGGTGTCTTAGAAGGAACACATTCCCCATCCACATTAATGTTGTTAATCCAGACAAAGCTATTAGTCTATCTTAGAGACCAATAGCTTAGTTCTTTAGAAGCTTTAGATAAAAATTTCTCACTTCTTCACATGAATATCCTTAGCCTTCCCCTCCATCATCATGAACTTCTTGGTCTCTTATCTAACATGGACATTGATTTCAAGGTAATTGGTCTATCCGAAATTAAACTCCTTAAAGATATACCAATATGTTTTAACACTTATATTCCTGGATACGAATTCCATCATACTAGTTCTAATAGTGCCTCTGGTGGTGTGGGAATCTATGTTAAATTTAATTTGACTGTTAATAAAAGCGATGATCTCAAATATTGTGATAATGAATTTGAGACAATTTGGATTGGAATTGATAATCCTAAAGCTAAAAATATTTTATCTTGCTGTGCATATCGTCACCCAAGAACTGATACAGCATAATTTTGTGATCATTTGCAGGAGAGGTTATCTGAAATTGAAAATGAAAATAGGCTCATCTGTATAATGGAAGATTTTAATATAAATCTGTTAGAGCATGCAAATCATACCCCAAGAAACGATTTCATTAACATGATGTTCTCACAACACCTACAGCCATCGGATCTCCACCCTACCCGCATACCAGAAACTACCTCTACACTCAGACCCCGTTTACACTATGCCGGATAAAATTGCGTTCGGATTGATTGCGTTTACATTGTGCCGCAAAAATTTTGTCCACTTTGCCCTCCCGTTTACACTGTGCCGGATAACTTCAGTCACATGACCTAAATCATGCACAGAATGCCCAAAATGAAGTCTTCTCTGGGCAACAAAATAAAAACAAAATTCCCGCCAACGTAAAAAAACTTCATTCTCTCTTCAGAATCATCTGCTTTTCTTTTAGACCAAATCCAAAGATGTTGTCAATACAAATTAGGCCTAGTGTGTTTTAATTGTTTGTTCATGAAACAAAATGACACTGAGCTAGCAAAGAAAGTAGGGAAAGCTGAAAAAGATGCCAATTTTACGTGGACTGGCAAGATACTGCACTTTGAACACGAGTATTTATCGACAACAAGGCAGCCAAGATGGCGAAAGGTCTTGATGGGGAGACAGTGAAAACTAAATTAGATGAAATAGCCAATCGCTTTGGAGCAAGATACGATGTGGATAAAATTTATCCGGATAAAAGCGTTTACACTGTACCACATAGCTATCCGAACTAACTTAATCCACTTTCTTAGGTGAACTAATTTTGTTCGGATAGCCGCTCTCAAATTTGTTCTAGGTTTTTTCAATAGCTTGAGTCTACTAACTCCGAAACAGATCTAATAAGGGCATTAAAACTTTTTTTTAAACCGTGTCGTTAATGAGCTGAAGGAATCTAAGAAAACTACTATTAGCATTAGCATATTTCAATCTAAACCCAAATTTCCCACTGTTAACTTCGCTAAATTCAAAGGGCTGTGGGTTAGGTATATTTCCATTATTTTCATGATACTTGGGTGGTTTTTATATTTCTAAATTTCTTTATCAATTAGTTCATTTATACCAAGTGTAATTGAAATGTGAGCCACATCTTCTTGATTTCCTAGATCTTATGTTATGTTAAGAAAATAATTGTCTAATAATTCTGCAATCTTGCGATCATCACTAATCAATTCTTGATTTTCTTCCAATGTAATGAAGAGTGTTGTTTGTATCTTTTCTGCAAAGACCTGTTTGATCGCTCTTCAGAATTAACGATTATCTCATTATGCATTTGATTATAAATGTGTATACACTTTACACATTTGTTCCTTTGCCGTTTATCTGCTTTATGCTTTCATCATTTTTGGTTTTAGTAAATCGATTTTTCTGTTTCCTACGATGCATTATTGCCTTACGTAATTCCTTCGTTATAAATGACCCGTTCTTTGCACGAACATACTTTCTCTTAATGGGTGCATGTTTATTCAAAGCATTTGACTGAGATATCAACACTGCCGTAGTCTCTACAGTTTAGTATCCGATGATTCAAAATTTCAGATCTAAGGCTGGGTATATCGAATTTTGGGTAGTCTCTATATGTAAGTATTTTGGGACCTCTCTTGATGAAATCACCTTCAGACAGTCCTGTTTCAACATTAGTCGTGTTTTGAAAGTGACTTTTACAGTTTGTCATTGGTAAATTTATACATCGTGGGTTGTCTGACTTGTGACAGGTTGGATTCTTGATCAAGTTAACTAATATGTTCACTGTGCTCCCGTCGATGCTACACTGTGCTCCTTTCGAAATCATCTTACGGTACTTCAAGCCCTCTCGTTGTGCGCAATACTCCGTATTAAACCTTTTAGTATTAAATTGAATGCATATCGATATAAAAATCAAATATATGTTCATTGAAATTAGGTGATAAAGATTATTGAATATTGCTACACATTGGCAGGCATAACTGAGTCAAACGACTCTAAGAAATATGAGAAGTAGATAAGTTGGTCTGAAGAGTCGGGAAACGTGCCAAACTACGTCACAGTCGAGAGGAAATTGTGTTATGCGAAACAATGACTTTGATAAATTTAATATGACTATAGACGGTCGAAATTAAAAATACTTTTTGAGGTTTTGGCCTTTCTCCATGATCCAAGTTCTTTTTTTAGCCGGCCAGTCTTAAGCAGGTTGCGTTGCTGTCAATGGCTCCAAATTGCAATCTTATTCAGAACAGTGTTCTTTCGTTAAAACCAAATATGACTATTCGACCAACGTTCTCGCTAAGGCAATGTGTATCGGCGTCCGCGTAGAGCGTGGTTGTTCTGCCTGCATTTCCTCTTCTAAGTCATCGGTTTCTGGGTTGTCTTCGTCTGAGTTCGCTTCCTCTTAACCTTCTGAAGAAGCATCTATCACATTTACCACATTGCTGTTATTTTCATTTGTTCTTTATATAGTTAGCTTTCATTTTTTCCAATGTTGTGTCTAATGCACACTTTTTTTACTTACCATATGTCTATGCATGGTGCTGTGGCTTGTTTCATTGTAGCTTTTTACTTAACTGGTCATGAATTAAAGAAAATGGCCAAAACTTGCATTTTTATTGTCAAAACGGTGACACGTACGCTCAGATGTTGAGGCTAGAACGTGAATATAATTTGTGGTGCACCCGTTTTGAAAAATTTGTGGTGCACCGGTTTTGAAAAGCCCGCACTAAACTTGAACACTAACTAACCCATGATTTATCTAGAAGAAACGCAAAACCTTTTAATGCCACTCTTCGTTAGAATTTACTAGCTAAAAATCCGAATAAAGATAACAATTTTACCTTGTTTCCGACGACGATCACTGGTTATGTTGGCAGCAACAACGCGGAACAACGCGGACCTCGGCACAAATTCCCAAATATGATTGGAACCATGACAATGACAGGAAAGCAACCAGCTTAAAGGCTCTTGGGAGACCTGCATGCCTAGCGGCATCTGTCTTGAGAAACTGGTTGAGTCGCAAAGCATGCCAGTTGCGCAAGAGCCTTTAAAGGCACTATGTTCCATTAGTCAACCGTTTAGAGTTAATAGGCTTTGCAGCGCGTTTATAATCGATGAACAGTGAGAATTAGCCTCTAGTTGCCGAATGGATACGTAACAATAGGTTATTGTGCAGCCCATCCAAAGGAAAATTTAAATGTCCAGCGAAATGCGTCGAGACATATAGTCTTTCAGACTGTTCGGCTAGAAACAGAACTTAACTTTGATCATTGAGCGAAAAACCATATCGAATTTTCGGCAGCCTTTCCACTAGCCCGGGTTAAAACACAGGTACTCGCACTCGGTATGAGAGGAATCTCGGGAGCATCGTTCACATCCTTCTTAAGAAATAGAAAAAATTCTGCTCAGTTAATGGACGACAGTCGGGGGCTAGATTGGTAACATGTGGTATACCTCAAGGATCATGCTTGGGACCACTCCTGTTTATCATCTACCTAAATGACTTTGAAAAGTGCTTAGAATTCTCTAAGGCTAGCATGTATTCACAATCCCAGCTCGACCATGTGTACTGTGCACTTATCGAAAGCCATCTGAGATACGCTAATGTTATTTGGGGAAGTCTTCCTAAATCAAAAATTAAATACACTCTGACGTCTGCAGGACAGAGCACGCTCGATTATTGATAAGGCCAGACTAAAAGACAACTGGTCCCATAACTGGCTGACCATTGAGCAACTCACAAAGTTCGAACGATCAGTTATGACATCCAAAATAATCAGCAGACAATGTCCCGAAAGCCTTTTGGATAAATATCGTCATAGGACCCAGCACTCCAACTACAGAACGAGGAATTGCAGGGACCTACAAATCCCAAGAAATAACCTTGAATACGTCAAGAGAGGCTTTCACTATTCGGCTCTGAAAGCCTGGAACGATATTCCCATCAATATCAAAGAGCTCTCTACACTTAGTAAATTCAAAAAGCAATTGAAAAGTTATTATACGAGCTGAACGCAACATAAAACACGACTCCCTGGAAGAACAGCTACTAAAAGATAGATTACTGTGCATAATTTAACTGTATATAAATTATATTAATGTAACTAGCATATTTATTTTCTTATTTGGTATTTAGTTGTAAGCTGAAGGGATTTTTATGTATAAAGAATATAAAATGAAAAATGAAATAACCCGGCTTAGTGGGAACGATAAAAAACGGATTAAAAACGGGTCGAAGAACTCACTTTAAAAACGGATAACTTTTAACCCGGTTTTGTTTTAACCCAGGCTAGTGGAAAGGTTGCCTCAAGCTTTTCATTTCGCCTATGTTGGAATCTTTTTTTTCGCGTTACTCAAAGTCTTTTCCATTACTACGCGGTTTGCCACTTTTTGCGCCTGTATAAACGAACGTACCAATTCAGCTCATTTCATACATTTGTTTGGTTGAAAATAAAAAAACTCATTCTGTTTAATCTAGAGACCATATCCTGTGCCAAATCCCCTACCGTGCGCAATCGCGTGCGCAATCGCGTGCACAATTGCGTGCGCAACACGAAATTTGATCCAGTTCACGGGTGATTTTCCGGAGTGGGTTTTTGGCTTTGAGCCTTGTTGGATGACTGATCCGCGACGGACCGGGACGGATCAAAAAAAAGTTGCCATCGTTTCACCTTTTTTAACCGTTCCGGTACAGTAGTTTTCTTTTGACCGGAATTGAGTTAGAGCTCTTTGAACGCTAGAGCACTTGCGTCATAACGCAAGGATCCTGTGGAGATAAATATGTACTCATTCCAATCTGAAACGTTCCGCGGATTGAACGGAACGGATCAGACCAATAGGATCTGATCCGATCCGGGGATCATTTCCCGGAGTAGGTTTTTGGCTTTGCATAGAATTTCATGTGAGTGACAGCTTGCGGAGACGTACATAAAGAAGCCTGTTTCGTTTTGCAATCAGTCCTTTTGGTGAAAGTGAAGATGGCTGTGCTAAATAACACAGAATCGACTGCACTCCTTGCTTCGCAAAAATCTGAGCATTTGCCAGGTTCTCGGGAGTCGATTAATGCCATCCAACTGAATGTTAAAGAACTTGCAAGAAGTCTTGGCTTTTGGCATGCATTTGCCTACGTGGTAGGAATCTTGTTTGGCTCTGGTATTTACATCTCGCCAAGTCTTGTAGCAAGAGAAACTAACAATATGGCTATAGCATTGGTAGTTTGGATAGTCTCTGGAATAATACCCATCTTGGGTGCATTGAGCCTTTGCGAACTGGCTTGTGCAATTGGCAAAGCAGGAGGTGAATACATTTTTAACAAAGAAGCCTTCGGAGATATTGCTGCATTCGTGACTTTGTGGGCGAAGGTTGTTGTTGGTTTTCCCGCTGCCATAGCTGTGTTGGGAATGGCGATCAGTGAGTACATTTTAAGCCCGTTTATTGACATAACTGCCTTGAATGGAGTTTGGATAACCAAAGCTGTTTCTGTGCTTTTCATTGCAGTGTCTGCCATCATAAATTCTTTGAGCGCCTCGTTTGTTGGCAAAACCCAAGTCTTTTTCACGGCCATTCAGTCACTATCAGTGCTATTTTTCGTGTCTCTGGGAATATGGAAAGCTTCTACAGGACACACTCAAAATTATGTTACTATTTTTGACAATTCCAGCAAATTTGAACTCGGTAGTTTTGGTATAGCCATTTACAATGGACTTTGGGCATATGATGGATGGGGCTATATTTGCACAATCACAGAGGAATTGAAAAACCCAAAAAGGGACATCCGATTAGCAATTCTTTTTGGAGTCGGATTTGTTATTCTATGTTACCTTTTGATTAACTTAACGTTGTTGACAGTCAGTGTTTACGCTGTTTGTGACAAAGATTCTCGGCAAAAATGTCGCATTCTTTGTGCCCTTTGCTGCTGCTTTTTCCTGCTTCAGTGCTCTGAATGGAATAAATTTTGTTTCCTCTCGACTTGTTCTCTCTGCCTCTCGCGAAGGACATTTACCTGAACCATTGTCGTACATTCATATGGACAGAAGAACGCCCATACCAGCTGTCTTATTTCAATCTACATTGTCAACGATTTGGATCCTCGTTCTTGGAGGTGGCACACAAAGTCTTGTTATTTACTATTCATTTGCAATTTGGTTTACATATGGCTTAGCGATATTCGGTGTTATTGTTTTACGGGTGCGCCAACCAGATCTACCGAGACCCTTCAAGGTATGGATTATCAACCCGATATTCATGACATTAGTTTCTCTATTACTTTTAGTTTTTCCATTTTTAAAACGACCAGTTGAGTGCAGTTTAAGCCTGGTTTTTGTTTTTGTAGCAGTTCCGATATACTTTCTAGTTGTGCAGGAACGAAACTGCACTCCAGACTGGCTGCGCAGTTGGAAAGACAAACTATACTTATGTATCCTTTTGCGCTGTAACCTCGTGAAGTGTGTTTTTGTTGCCAGCAAGACTACCGTAAAGAATTGTCAAGTAGATTCTACAAGTCTTTAGTTGAAATAATCAATCAGCATTGGTTAGGAAGGAATTTTTGTGCTGGTGCGAGGTTTCGACCGGTAAGAAGGAATAAAGTGAGCATTACTATTAGTCACGCTTTAATTTAAAATGATGTACCATAAATTCTCTTTTGAATCCCCCTACTTATTAAGTCCCTCTCTTTTATTAGCCGCCCCTTTTCAGAAGGAAAAGTTCAACAAGCCCCCTTCCTCACAAATATGATTTAATGAGATCAAAATAAGGAATAAAGTCCCTACAATTTGACTGAATCTGTGTCTCATTTTTTTATCAGTTAGTTTTTATTTTTAATCAAATTTTAGTGTTTAACTCTTCTTCTATTTGAACCAGATGATCAAGCCTCCAATTCAAGTTAGGGGTCTGGAGCACAGGCTAGCCTCCAAATGATAACACATTTAAAGTAGTCGATAAGTTGAATCAATTCAGTGAACAAGGACAACCTTTTGGTAACTTAAATTCTAATTTATGTGGCATACGAAGCAAACGAGTAAATTCATACCAAAGGTTTTTGAACTGCTAGCAATGCAACCACCGGATAGTAACATTAATCTAAATGACAAAAAGATAAACAACAACTTAACCGGGTGTCTTAGAAGGAACACATTCCCCATCCACATTAATGTTGTTAATCCAGGCAAAGCTATTAGTCTATCTTAGAGACCAATAGCTTAGTTCTTTAGAAGCTTTAGATAAAAATTTCTCACTTCTTCACATGAATATCCTTAGCCTTCCCCTCCATCATCATGAACTTCTTGGTCTCTTATCTAACATAGACATTGATTTCAAGTTAATTGGTCTATCCGAAATTAAACTCCCTACAGATAAACCAATACGTCTCAACACTGGATACAAATTCCATCATACTAGTTCTAATAATGCCTCTGGTGGTGTGGGAATCTATGTTAAATCTAATTTGACTGTTAATAAAAGGGATGATCTCACATATTGTGATAATGAATTTAAGAAAATTTGGATTGAAATTGATAATCCTAAAGCTAAAAATATTTTATCTTGCTGTGCATATCGTCACCCAAGAACTACAGCAAGATTTAGTGATCATCTGCAGGAGAGGTTATTTTAAATTGAAAATGAAAATAAGTTCACCTTTATAATGGGAGATTTTAATATAAATCTGTTAGAGCATGCAAATCATACCCCCAGCAAACGATTTCATTAACATGATGTTCTCACAACACCTACAGCCGTCGGTTTTTCTTCCTACCCGCATTACAGAAAGTAACACTTATTGACAACATATTTGAAATAATGTTGATAGGTTATCTCAACAGCTTTAGTCTACTAACTCCGAAACAGATCTAATAAGGGCATTTAAACTTTTTGGAAACCGTGTCGTTAATGAGCTGAAGGAATCTAAGAAAAACTACTATTATCATTATTTTGATGAAAACAAAAGTAATATGAAAATGCTTTGGAAAGGTATAAAGAATATTGTCAGCTTAAAATCAAACAATCTAGACACAAATGGCTTTGAAAAATGCAAACATTTAGTATATACAATACCTGGGCCTATTTCGATCCACAACTGGGTATATATATTTCCTAGCGTAGAGTTTTCGATCTATGTTCTGATGTCTAAACTCTGAAGAGTGTCAGACGAAAAGCTTTAGTTTACTAAATTTTTGCTTTTTTTTCAAAGCCATTTTCAAGTTTTGTACCACCAAATAATTGTTTGCATAAATCTAGACACAATTTCATACCTAACAGATAAAAACGGCTCCCAAATTAAGGATCAAGTTAAAATAGCTAATCAATTTAATCATTACTTTACGAGTGTTGCTAATGACATCACACAGAAGATCCTAAGAAACCCAAGGTCTTCATTGTCTTACCTAACCAATCCCAATCAGGATTCCTTCTACATTTTCCCTTCTACCTCCAATGAAGTATCAGAGTCATTAAATCTCTAAAAAATGGTAAATCTAGTGATTCAAATAGCACGCAAATTAAATTGCTGAAAATTCTAGATCCCCACATTTCCATTGACCTATCAATTTTGATCAATGAATCTTTTGAAACTGGTATTTTTCCTAATAAGCGTAAAATAGCGAAGGCGATCCCAGTATTTAAGAAAGGTCTCACTACCAAAAAATCAAATTATAGACCAATTTCCCTCCTGTCAATTTTCAGCAAAATATTTGAAAAATTAATGTATCAATGCCTCTATAGATTTCTTGAGGCATGTGAATTGTTGTTTAACTTGCAATTTGGATTTCGTAGTGGTCACTCTATTGACCATGCACTAGTGAGTTTAACTGGGAATATCAAGTCTTCCCTAGACAATAACAGATTTGGGTGTGGAATATTTATTGATCTCCAAAAAGCGTTTGATACTGTTAACCATGATATTCTTCTAAGCAAGCTGGAACACTATGGAATCCGAGAAAATTCTCTACAGTGGTTTGAATCATATTTAAACGATCGCAAACAATTTTTCTCCGTAAATGGACATTAATGTTCTTTCTGTGATATAACATGCGGTGTTCCTCAGTGATCAGTGTTGGGTCCCTTGTTATTTCTAATTTATATAAATGACCTACCAAACTTATCTAAGCTTTTAACATTCTTCTTTTTTGCTGATGACACCAATATTTACTTTGAAGCAGATGATCTTACTAGACTGACTTAAACAGTAAATAAAGAACTTAAGAAGGTAAAAACCTGGATGGATTGTAACAAACTTGCATTGAATATTGACAAAACTAAGGCCCCGTTCACACCATTCCGTTTTCGAACAAAAACGCATCTGTTTAGCTCCGTTTTTGGCTTTGCGTTCACATTAGTCTACCCCAAAACGGAGCTAAATGAAAACGATGATAAAAACGGAGCTAAATGAAAACGGAGCTAAACAAAAACGCAACTCTGTAGTTTGAACACCAAAAACGGAACAATTTGAAAACGCTAACAACAACAGCAACGAGCTTTTCAAGTAGTGGCGCCAATTTTTATCGGTCGGTAATCATGACTCCTACAAGGAATATGGATACCAGTGTTGCTCTTGTTAAACTTATGTTTAGTTTGGCCGTGGGGCTATGTGGGTAATCTTTACCAACTCTGTCTGCTTCTCCACAATTTCTTAAATATTTTTTTATTCTTTCGGCAATGTCGACATATTTCGATTGCATGCTCTCCCAATCTTTACCCTGTGATATATTATCCTCGTGTATTCTACGGCTATATTAAGCAACAGAAGAACTTCATCATCAGTCCAATTCAGGTATTCTTCACCTGAAGCTGATTTGCGAGGACGAGGCGACATCACTTCTTTTATTTGATATCAGTGCCTTCACCTTTACTTTGCGAACTTGGAACTCAGGTCGTTGAGTGTTTTCGCGCCAATATCAGAAGCCTCGTTTTCAGAAAGAGAAAAACAGATGCGTTTTTGAGAACTAGTGTGAACACCAATTAATAGATATCCGTTTCTGTCTGAAAACGGAGTAGTGTGAACAGAGATAAAAACAGCTCCGTTTTTGCTGTCAAAAACGAATCTAATCGAAAACGAAGTAATGTGAACGTAGACTAACTTTGTTTCATTCCACGCACCCAAGAAGAAACTACCAGATGTGATCCTTCTCAAATTTGGCAAAAAAATATAAAAATAACTAATATGTTAAGTTCCTTGGCGTCCCTGTTGACGAGCACCTTTCCCGGAAATACCATACCTGTGAACTTCGCAAAAAATTGTCTAGAACCACTGGACTTTTCTTCAAATTAAGGCACCGGATTCCCTTGCCAACTCTTCTCTGTCTGTATGATTCACTGTTTTCATCATTTCTTAATTACGGAATTATTGTTTGGGGTCTTACATTCGACAACTACCTTACTCCATTCTTTCTGCTGCAAAAGAGAATCCTTAGATGTATAAACTTTCAAATACCTACGGCCCCATCTGCACCTTTATTTCATTCATTAAAAATAATCAAACTTCAAGATATATTACATTTCAATTTTCTAACATTTGTTTATAAAGCTATAAATAAGCTCTCACAAGTTTATTTCACGCCGGATTCTTCTGTTCATAGGTTTGAAACTCGTCAGGCCACAAGAGGTGATCTATTCGTTTTCTTGAAACGAGCAACCCTTCATTGCCTCAAAACAGTACAATATTTTGGCTCCTAATTATGGAATACTCTTCCGCTTTTTATACGAGTTGCTGCTTCAATTTCTGTTTTTCGATCTAAAATAAAAGCGTACTTTATTGACTCCTATGCTTAACTAGTGAATTTGATGAGGCTTATCTGGTTCATTATATTTTGTATTTGTATTTATATATATCAATATTTGTTGTTGTTTTAAATAAAAATTTTCTTTTAAGTTTTCTTTTATTAGGGGGGGGGCTCTCTCTCGATTAGTTTATCTATTTAGAGAGCTTCTCCTTAATCAGTCTTTTTTATCTACAGTCCCATGTTTATTTTTTTGTTTGATGTAATAAATTTGTTATTATTTTTATTGTCATATGTATTAAATTGTATCTAAAATAGATTGATGAAAATGAAATAAAACCCCTTTCTTATAAGCCCCCTTTAAAGTGCTGGAAAATAATAGGCCCCCGAGGGAATTAAAAGAGAATTTACGGTATTAGAAGATAAACCTCTGCTCTGAAGTTCTCTAAGGTTTAGTTAGAATTTTTTAAATTAGTGAACTGAGATTAAATTAGAAGTACTTTAAAATGAATTGCTTATTATTGTTATGATGATAACGTGTGAAACAAAGGTCCATGTCATTTCCTTGCTCTATCTTAAATGTGTCTTTGGTGAAGTTGGTCATAATTTGATTATAAAAGTCATTGAGTATCGAAACATCCCTGAAGAAATCAAATTTGATCAAAAGTCTCTACAGCGACTTCTACACTTCTATCATATGCAAAAAATTTGCAACCTCTTTCATTACTGGTAAACATGGTGTTCTCCAAGGTGACTGTAAAAGCCCTCTCTTATTCAATCTTTGTTTTAACACTTTTATTCGAGTCACCAAATCTCAAGAGTTGGCAGCTGGGTTTTCTCCTATCAATAGACAAGGAACACTTTTCAATCAAATTCATTGCTGTCAATTTGCAGATGATGCTGCATTGATTACTTCAAATGAGAAGAAAAATCAGCTGCTTCTCAACTGATTTAAAAGGTGGCGCAAGTGGGCTGTAATGACCATACGTGTCGACAACCCACTTTACCAGAAAGTCTTTTTTTTTACTGATTTTGTCATTTTTTTGTGCAGCAATGATTTGTCTCCTAATTTAAGTTATTCTGGAAATCTCATATTAGCTAGGTCCTCATTGAATGTTCTTTGGAAAATTTCAGAGAAAATTTCTGAATGTTCTTTGAATATCTTAGCAGGCATACTTTCTATTGGCGAGGCCTTTTAGGTATTAAGTTTGTTTATCTGATCCCAAATTTCCCACTGTTAACTCAGCTAAATTCAAAGGGCTGTGGGTTAGGTACATTTCTATTATTTTCATGATACTTGGGTGGTTTTTATATTTCTAAATTTCTTTATCAATTAGTTCATTTATACCAAGTGTAATTGAAATGTGAGCCACATCTTCTTGATTTCCTAGATCTTATGTTATGTTAAGAAAATAATTGTTTAATAATTCTGCAATCTTGCGATCATCATTAATCAATTCTTGATTTTCTTCCAATGTAATGAAGAGTGTTGTTTGTATCTTTTCTGCAAAGACCTGTTTGATCGCTCTTCAGAATTAACGATTATCTCATTATGCATTTGATTATAAATGTGTATACACTTTACACATTTGTTCCTTTGCCGTTTATCTGCTTTATGCTTTCATCTTTTTTGGTTTTAGTATATCGATTTTTCTGTTTGCTACGATGCATTTTTGCCTTACGTAATTCCTTCGTCATAAATGGCCTGTTGTTTGCACGAACATACTTTCTCTTAATGGGTGCATGTTTATTTAAAGCTTTTGACTGAAAATTATCAACACTGCCGTAGTCTCTATAGTTTAGTATCCGATGATTCAAAATTTCAGATCTAAGGCTGGGTATATCGAATTTTGGGTAGTATCTATATGTAAATATTTTGGGGCCTCTCTTCATGAAATCACCTTCAGACAGTCCTGTTTCAACATTGGTCGTGTTTTGAAAGTGACTTTTACAGTTTGTCATTATTAAATCTATACATCGTGGGTTGTCTGACTTGTGACAGGTTGGATTCTTGATCAAGTTAACTAATATGTTCACTGTGCTCCCGTCGATGCTACACTTAGCCTGTGCTCCAGACCCCTAACTTGAAAGTAGAGGGTCTGTGTAACCGAGAGCAAAATCGCGTACGGGGATTGAATTGAATTTTTTGCATAATTATCACAGATTTGTGTAATCATGCAAGAAGAAGCGCTAATATTTTGATCGGTCGTGGCAGTACGATATAGATTTATTTGTTAGAAGAAAAGTTTTGAAAATGTTGCTCCGCTATTTGATGTTGAAGATCTTCATTGGGACAATTCATTGGTTCTGACCAAAACAGATTAAAGATGCTGTGGGCCAATCTTGCTCATTTTACAGCAGTTGATGGGGAGTGAATCTACCGCATGCAGCAATCGTAGTAAAATTGACTTGGCAACCAATCGATTTGCTTTGAGTAGACATTTGATTTTGCTTGGTAGAAATGTTTATTTTCTAGTTTGGTTCGAATTTAATGTAAAGAAGGTTTTTTTGAGACAAGATCTAGTGGATACGATGACGGAAAACATGACTTTCGGAGTAGCGATAAGTAATGGAAACCGAGAAAGAGACAAGACGCGTTGGCTCCAAGCCGTAGAGAATGATCTCTGGTTATAAACGCAAGTTTACATACAGTGGAAATTGCTAAAGACTAGTAAACATTTATCATTGATCCTGACAAGATTGCCAAACTGAGTGGACTAATTTTATTAGCAATGTGAGGCAGTAGGCCTAGGCCCATGCCTTGTACTTTTCATCAATTCTTTTCATCAGGATAGCGATTGCTTTGCTATAAACACGTCTTCTAAGTTCCTTGTTTGAATTCTGAAATTCTGATTTTAAAAATGTTTTTAAACGTTCATTAACACATAAGAGACAAATTATCAACAAAAAGCGTGTTTTGATTAAAATTCATCCCCCGGTTTTTGAAGTGTTTCCATCCTCGCGCCGGGCGACAATTATCTAGGCATCGTGATATATTCAATGCTTTCAGACATCATTGTGGCATTGTCTGACAAAATAAAGAGAACCTTTTGAATTTGCACACATTTCTTGTCACTATTTGAATGCGTAAACTGTCGCAGCAAACAACGCTCTGTTTACGCCATTGCTCACTTTTGTCATGTAAAAACCGCATAATTTACGCATAATTAATTTTCCCAGAGATCCTGGGAAAAGCTCGTACGCGATATTGCTCTCGGTTACACAGACCGTCTACTTTCAAGTTAGGGGGGTCTGGAACACAGGCTATGCTACACTGTGCTCCTTTCGAAGTCATCTTACGGTACTTCATGCCCTCTCGTTGTGCGCAATACTCCGTATTAAATCTTTCATATCGAATATCGTATTAAATCTTTCAGTATTAAATTGAATGCATATCGATATGAAAATCAAATATATGTTCATTGAAATTAGGTGATAAAGATTATTGAATATTGCTACACAGGCATAACTGAGCCGAACGACTCAACGAAATATGAGAAGTAGATAAGTTGGTCTGAATGTAACGGTTGGCTTTAGTGTGTGATATATTTCGTAATATCTCAGTTGCATGTTATAGTCACATGTGCTGTTGAGTCCTGTTGTGTCAGTTAACGTCTTTCTAATGGCAATGTGTTTGTCTGTCAACATGTATTGTGACGTTCGTATTGTTCTCTTAATTACCTTCCGTCAATGTTCACTTTAGAGTTAGTCTTGCTGTTGAACGAATAAAGACAACATCAGAATAGAGTCTCTCTCGTGTTCTACTTATTCGGGGCTTAGGCCCATTGGCCTAGCCCCATCGTATCTTCACCATCCTAAGAAGAACCCGACTAACATAAAACGTTACATGAAGAGTCGCGAAACGTGCAAAACTACGTCACAGTCGAGAGGAAATCGTGTTATGCGAAACAATGACTTTGATAAATTTAATATGACTATAGACGGTCGAAATTAAAAATTATTTTTCAGGTTTTGAGGTTTTGGCCTTTCTCCATGATCCAAGTTCTTTTTCTAGCCGGCCAGTTGCAGTCAATGGTTCGAAATTGCAGTCTTATTCAGAACAGTGTTCTTTCGTTAAAACCAAATATGACTATTCGATCAACGTTCTCGCTTAGGCAATGTGTATCGGCGTCCGCGTAGAACGTGGTTGTTCTGCCTGCATTTCCTCTTCTAAGTCATCGGTTTCTGGGTTGTCTTCGTCTGAGTTCGCTTCCTCTTAACCTTCTAAAGAAGCATCTATCACATTTACCACATTGCTATTATTTTCATTTGTTCTTTATATAGGTAGCTTTCATTTTTTCCAATGTTGTGTCTAATGCACACTTTTTTTACGTACCATATGTCTATGTTTCATTGTAGCTTTTTACTTAACTGGTCATGAATTAAAGAAAATGGCCAAAACTTGTATTTTTATTGTCAAAACGGTGACAAGTACGCTCAGATGTTGAGGTTAGAACATGAATATAATTTGTGGTGCACCCGTTTTGAAAAATTTGTGGTGCACCGGTTTTGAAAAGCTCGCACTAAACTTGAACACTAACTAACCCATGATTTATCTAGAAGAAACGCAAAATCTTTTAATGCCACTCTTCGTTAGAATTTACTAGCTAAAAATCCGATCAAAGATTATGACAAATTTACCTTGTTTCCGACGACGATCACTGGTTATGTTGGCAGCAACAACGCGGAACAACGCGGACCTCGGCACAAATTCCCAAATATGATTGGAACCATGACAATAACTGGAAAGCAACCAGCTTAAAGGCTCTTGGGAGACCTGCATGCCTAGCGGCTTCTGTCTTGAGAAACTGGTTGAGTTGCAAAGCATGCCAGTTGCGCAAGAGCATGTTCCATTAGTCAACCGTTTAGAGTTAATAGGCTTTGCAGCGCGTTTATAATCGATGAACAGTGAGAATTAGCCTCTAGTTGCCGAATGGATACGTAACAATAGGTTATTGTGCAGCCCAACCAGAGGCAAATTTAAATGTCCAGCGAAATGCGTCGAGACATATAGCCTTTCAGACTGTTCGGCTAGAAACAGAACTTAACTTTGATTATTGAGCGAAAACCACATCGAATTTTAGGCAGCCTTTCCACTAGCCCGGGTTGAAACACAGGTACTCGCAGGCCAGACTAAAAGACAACTGGTCTCATAACTGGCTGACCATTGAGCAACTCACAAAGTTCGATCGATCAGTTATGACATACAAAATAATCAGCAGACAATGTCCCGAAAGCCTTTGGGATAAATATCATCATAGGACCCAGCACTCCAACTACAGAACAAGGAATTACAGGGACCTACAAATCCCAAGAAATAGCATTGAATACGTCAAGAAAGGCTTTCATTATTCGGCTCTGAAAGCCTGGAACGATATTCCCATCAATATCAAAGAGCTCTCTACACTTAGTAAATTCAAAAAGCAATTGAAAAGTTATTATACGAGCTGAACACAACATAAAACACGACTCCCTGGAAGAGCAGCTACTAAAAGATAGATTACTGTGCATAATTCCCTGTATATAAATTATATTAATGTAACTAGGATATTCATTTTCTTATTTGGTATTTAGTTGTAAGCTGAAGTGAATTTTTGTGTATAAAGAATATAAAATGAAAAATGAAATAACCCGGCTTAGTGGGAACGCTCAAAAACGGATTAAAAACGGGTCGAAGAAAATTGCCGTTTCCATTGACTCACTTTAAAAACGGATAACTTTTAACCCGGTTTTGTTTTAACCCAGGCTAGTGGAAAGGCTGCCTTAAGCTTTTCATTTCGCCTTTGTTGTAATCGTTTTTTCGCATTACTCAAAGTCCTTTCCATTGCTACGCGGAATGCCACTTTTTGCGTCTGTATAAACGCCTTATTGGATGACTGATCCGCAACGGACCGAGACGGATCGAAAAATAGTTGCAATCGTTTCACCTTTTTTTAACCGTTTCGGTACAGTAGTTTTCTTTCGACCGGAATCGAGTTAGAGCTCTTTGAACGCTAGAGCACTTGCGTCATAAGGCAAGGATCCTGTTGAGATAGATATGTACTTATTCCAATCTGATCCCATCCGCAGATTGTTTTGGCTTTGCATAGAATTTCATGTCAGTGACAGCTTGTGGAGAGTTACATAAAGAAGCCTGTTTCGTTTTGCAATCAGTTCTTTTGGTGAAAGTGAAGATGGCTGTGCTAAATAACACAGAATCAACTGCACTCCTTGCTTCGCAAAAATCTGAGCATTTGACAGGTTCTCGGGAGTCCATTAATAGCTTCGAACTGAATGTTAAAGAACTTGCAAGAAGATTAGGAATTATGGCACACTCAAAATTATGTTTCTATTTTTGACAATTCCAGCAAATTTGAACTCTGTAGTTTTGGTATAGCCTTTTATAATGGACTATGGGCATATGATGGATGGGGACTCATTTGCACAATCACAGAGGAATTGAAAAACCCAAAAAGGGACCTCCGACTAGCAATTCTTTTCGGAGTCGGATTTGTTATTCTATGTTACCTTTTGATTAACTTAGCGTTGTTGGCGGTTTTGACCCACAGAGAAATTGCAAGTTCATTATCAGTGCTTACGCTGTTTGTGAAAAAGATTCTCGGCAAAAATGTCGCATTCGTTGTGCCCTTTGCTGCTGCTTTTTTCTGTTTCAGTGTACTGAAACATTTTGTGTTCTCTCCGCCTCTCGCGAAGGACATTTGCCTGAACCATTGTCGTACATTCATATGGACAGAAGAACGCCCATACCAGCTGTCTTATTTCTATCTTTACTGTCAATGATTTGGATTCTCGTTCTTGGAGCAGGAACACAAAATCTTCTTATTTACTTTTCATTTGCAATTTGGTTTACATACGGCTTAGCGATATTCGGTGTCATTGTTCTACGGGTGCGCCAACCAGATCTACCGAGACCCATCAAGGTATGGATTATCAACCCGATATTCATGACATTAGTTTCTCTGTTACTTTTAGTTTTTCCATTTTTAAAACGACCAGTTGAGAGCAGTTTAAGCCTGGTTTTTGTTTTAGTAGCAGTTCCGATATACTTTCTAGTTGTGCAGGAACGAAACTGCACTCCAGACTGGCTGCGCAGTTGGAAAGACAAACTATACTTATGTATCCTTTTGCGCTGTAACCTCGTGAAGTGTGTTTTTGTTGCACGCAAGACTGCCGTAAAGAATTCTCAAATAGATACTACAAGTGTTTAGTTGTATAATCAGCATTGGTTATGGATGAGTTTTTGTACTGGTACGATGTTTTGACCGGTAGAAAGAAATAATGTGAGTATTACTACGATGAGCCCCCTTTAATTTTAATTTGATATTATGTACCGTAAATTCTCTTTTCAGCTCCCCTTTTCATTGAGCCCCCCTCTCTTATTAGCCGCCTCTTTTCAGAAGGGAAAGTTTAAGAAGCCCACCTCCCACAACAAATAATTTAAATGATGCCAAAAAAATTTTTTGACAAAAAACGGAGATTTTCATTTTATTCATTGGTCGTTCAATGCCTTTCAACAAATCGAAATCCGGACCATGTTTTTTCAAGTCTCGATGAGTCCGAAGACAAAGATTTAACGTGCATTAAGCACGGGACATGTGGGAGCTATTTACCAAAATAACAGGCCGTTTGTACTCAGACGGATAAATTCGACCCTTTCGAATGCTCGATTCCAGAAGACGAAAAGGCCAAAGAAGATATTTAAGAAGAAATAACTGAAGGCGATGAAAATATTACAATTAAATATTTATATGTAGGCGCCTAATTTGATGATTTTTATTTCGCACATAGCAAACAATCAGTCCACCTCTCTCAATTTAGCCACCCCTCTCTTATCAGGCCTCCTTTAAAGTCTGGAAAACAATAGTCCCCTGAGAGGCTTAAAAGAGAATTTACGGTATTGGAAGGTAAGCATCTGCTCTGAAGTTGGTCAAGGTTTAGTTAGAATTTTTTAAATTAGTGGACAGAGATTTGTCAACTTGTTCATCAGGCACAGGCATGCCTTGGCATTTTCTGCCAACCTTTTTCTTTTTTTATCGGTATGTGCAACGACTTAGAGTTCGATTATCACCATCAAAAGTATATCATCTCCAGTATGTCACACATCGCAATTTTCTGCTGCAGGAATAAGGAATGGCCTTCCCCTGAACTTCTTTCTTTTTAACAAAATTTTTTTACCCTTTCTTTGCTGAGTGTTTTTCTCTCTGTCTCTTTCTAACTTGCTTCAATTGTCAATTTGTATGATCAGGGTCGGACTGGCAGGTCGGGCTACTGGGTGATCGCCCGGTGGGCCCTCCCAAAATTACTGAAATTTTCTCTTAATTTTGCTATTAAATGAAAACTCGTATTTTTTGGTAGGGTCCCTCTTTTGTTGCCTTAACACCGAGACTCCCTCAAGATTATTGGATACAGAATGAATAAAAAGATCACTTTGCGGTATTTAAGTACTGAAAAAGCATTTTCTAAAATTGGGGGCCCCTTGGAAACAAGAAGAATCCTGAGCCCAGGTCCAGGGCTCACTGTCCCTAATGCAATAATACGATACTTAACTGGAAGTTCCAAAATCCGATAAATGTTCTCTTTGGGCCCTCAGTTTAAATGTTTTCATTAAATGATAGGCTAAGGTTGGAAGGACATGACCATTTTTGTGGCTAAATTTCTAGAAAGGCACATTATTTTAATGCTAACCAAGTAAATTTGGGAGTATAGATCAAAACAGTAGAAGGGCTTAAACCCCTTAGCTCTGAAAAGTTTTTTGCTCCAGTACATCCATACTTTGCTCCAGTATAAAACATCAATGATTCGCCAAAGATCTTAGGCATAAAACATCGGTACTTACGCCAAATTTTGGTGCAATTCTTCGGAAAAAATTTGGCATAACTGTGCTAGTTTTTTATTCGGAAATTTGCTGGCGTGGCGAAAACCATGCGAGGTTTTCCCTGACAAACTTTGCAAAGTAACAGGCCCGTAGACACTGGGGGCATGGGGGCAATGCCCCCTCCCAATAATTTGCAAAAATTGTGTTTGAAGATCTTATAAGCGCAGCATTTCGTAAGGCAGGTAAAGAAAAAGCTATATTTCTCTCCATGCCCCCAATCCAGTTTAGCAGTCTACGGGCTTGCATAAAAATTAATAAGTTTTAAATGTCTCCCATTGTAAACTGAACAAGAAAAAGAAACGAAATACAATCGCCCCTTTCTCCTACTTTCATTAACGTTTTGTCAGCCCTGTCTATGCCACTGATGTTACCACCTTGGTTGCTGCGCAATTAATCAATTAACCTGGCTGCTCAACCAATGTTCGGAAAAACATCAACCCCTGTTATGTTTTGACTGGAAAATTAAATATCAAGATTGTTTTGAACAGCTTAGATATTTCTTGAATAACTTATTAATTTCTACCCTGGGTACCAGAGCTCAGTGATCGAAAAAGGTGACCCCTCTAAATACTATTCCCCATTTTTATCACTGAGGTCCCCCTTTAAAAGTTCTTTAGATAGAAAACAATAATTGTTTCCCTCGCAATGTTATGATTTTTTATCATCTCTTATCCTACGTCAAAATTAAATTGCCAGTGAAAATGATGCTGACCTGAACTAAGGATTGTAGGTCCCTCTTTTACACTTACGCCTACATCCCTGGTGGTTTCTAATTAGAATTAATAGCAATATTCCACTAACGTTTTAAACCAGTTTAAAAAAGTGATGCAACAAACAACATTGGGGATACCCGTAAACTTATTATTGATTTTCGGGGCCCTTTCTCGACGACTTGGCCCGGGCCCTAAATTTAGAGCCAGTCCGCCTCTGTGTATGATCTAAGTATTATTATTGTTATTTCTGTACCAGGTTAGCCAGTTCTAGACTACCTAATCATAAAGCGAGGTTTACAATTGTTTGATATATTTCCATTATTTTTTATTATTACAAAAGGTGATAAACAAACTGCTACATTGACGGGAGCCCGGCCAGAACCCAACCCGGCCTGAACCCACCACGGCCTGAACCCACCCCGGCCCGAACTCACCCCAACCCTAGCCCAAACCCTCCTGGGCCCGGAACCCCCACGAAAATTATTGCTTCGATTAATTTAATCCCAAATATTACTCTGGGTACCAGAACCACATGAATCCGGGGATAGAGTATTGTGGACGGCTGTGGTGACAAAGAATGAATTTTCAATCCTCGCTCAAAGAAATATTACTGAAACTAAATAATAGAGACGCTTGCATCCAGGGTTCTCAAATATCGTCGGGGCCGCCGTTGCTCAACAACAAATTGTTTTTCAATGTTGGATGCGTTTGATCATACATGTTGGGTCACCCAACATTTGCAAAATGGTGTTGGATGAAGTTTGATCTTGCTCAAAAACAAATTTTGTTTTTCAATGTCGGATGCGTTTGATCATACATGTTGGGTCACCCAACATTTGCAAAATGGTGTTGGATGAAGTTTGATCTTGCTTAAAAACTAGTTTGTTTTTCAATGTCGGATGCGTTTGACCACTCCATCCAACATTTCACCCAACATTTCATTTTCTGGGCATGCGCATAATTCCAACTTATTTATTTTCATTTGAGCGCCAAGTTGATTCACTGATTTGTGAGCCACCATTCCCAAGTTATCGAATGAAAAATAGAAAGTTAGAACAAAGAACAGAAGTAAATAATCTAAAAATTCATAGCTGAGGAAAGGGTGGTGGATTAGGGCGAATGTAGCACTGATATGTTGATTCAGAGTAGCAATGGCATTCTAGATTTACACATAGACCTAACGGGAAGCAAGGGCTACGAAAAAGGAATATATAAGCAAGCGAAACCGACAAGTGAATTAGATAATGCAGAGGTCCATCAGACGGAACTTTCAAGAAGAAAGACAGCTGACGCTTTAACATGTTGTTTTGGAATCAGCTATTATAGTTCACCTTCATTTTGCGCGCATTTTCGCCATCTGATGTAAACCATTGATGTAAACACGTCGTTGCGCAGGCGATGCACGGTGATGGAAATGTTAGATGAAATGTTTGATGCGTTTGACCACCCGCTTATGAAGATCGACTAACTTTCATAGTTGTTCAGAGTAAATGTTGGATGAAATGTTGGATGCGATTGGAAATAGTTAGTAGACATATAGATGAGTATGTTAAAAAACCACCTGAAATCACCTGCAAATCACCTGAAGAACGCCTGCAAATCACCTGAAAAACGCCTGCAAATCATCCGCAGAACACCTGAAATCACCTGCAAATCACCTGCAAATCACCTGGAAAACGCCTGAAAAATGCCTGCAATTCATCTGCAGAACACCTGAAAAACGCCTGCAAATCCCCTGCAAACCACCTGAAATCACCTGCAAATCACCTGCAAATCACCTGAAAAACGCCTGAAAAATGCCTGCAAATCATCTGCAGAACACCTGAAACCTAGCCTGCGGGTAGACTCGACTTGTTTTACCAGAGATATATCTAGTTGATTGGAAATTAAGTTGATTGTAGAGAACCAGTCGAGTTCATATGTCAGAACAAACAAGCTTTTAAACAAGCCAGTGGCCGGTGGACCGGTGGACCACGCCGCCACTTCACCAAGCTCTCATATTGTAGTGTAGCTCGTCTAAATGAGTGCAAGGAATTGCTCTTCAAATAAACTTATATGAGTAAAAAAGGAAGCTATTTGTTTACCATTTTGTAAGTTCCTCATGAAACTAGACTGCGTGCAGGAAAAGTTTCTCTCTTCTTTTCAATTTCCGAGTCTGCACGCAGTGCTTTTGTTAACAGAAAACATAAAAAGGTCTATCCCTTGGTTTTCGTCTTTCACAAAGACGGTCTCCTCTAGTAGCAGACAAAAGTAAGTAGCTGGGCAGACTGAAAATGGCTGTGCTAAAAAGGACAGAATCGACTGCACTCCTTGCTTCGCAAAAATCTGAGCATTTGACAGGTTCTCGGGAGTCCATTAATAGCATCGAACTAAATGTTAAAGAACTTGCAAGAAGTCTTGGCTTTTGGCATGCATTTGCCTACGTGGTAGGAATCTTGTTTGGCTCTGGTATGTACATCTCGCCAAGCCTTGTAGCAAGAGAAACTAACAATATGGCTATAGCGTTGGTAGTTTGGATAGTCTCTGGAATAATACCCATCTTGGGTGCAATGTGCCTTTGCGAACTGGCTTGTGCAATTGGTAAAACAGGAGGTGAATACATTTTTAACAAAGAAGCCTTCGGAGATATCGCTGCATTTGTGACTTTGTGGGCGAAGGTTGTTGTTGGTTTTCCCGCTGCCATGGCTGTGTTGGGAATGGCGATCAGTGAGTACATTTTGAGCCCGTTTATTGACTTAACTGCCCCCAATGGAGTTTGGATAGCCAAAGCTGTTGCTGTGCTTTTCATCGTGATG